TAACAGCAAAAGATCAGTTAATCACACATGAAGTCTAACGAACAAAAAACAGCACAAGAATATTCAAGAAACCTGATGTCTTGTATGATGAGCTCAAAACTAAGAACACCATTAATTGGAAATCCTGGAATCGTCAGATGAACAACACAACCTGTAACATCTGCAATTCAATTCAAAGTAAGCAAATAATCATGAATACTTTTTGTGCAAACAACACTCGAGGAAGATACCTCCATAGTTCACAACTGCCTCTTTCTCTATTGGAATAGCCGAGAATGAAGTTTTCAGAAAAGCATTGACTGGAAACTTGGGATAAACCGGATTGTCAGGGACACAAAACACGATTTGTTCACGCCTTAAGGCAAAGCGAACTTCACCTGGAACAAAACGCATGTTCTTCCTTGCAGGAATAACATGAAAGCCATCCAGGACATGTAAATCTCCTACTTGAAACTTATGCTGCATTTCTTGAATGTCATTTTCCTCAACACAGGCCTCTAGCATATGTTCCTGTTAAATGTGATTTAGTGCATGACCACAATAGAATCAAACATAAACAATAAAGAATACATTACAGAGACGAATAACAAACCTCTTTGTCAAGACACATCACATGCATTGTTCTTTGATGTCCTTGAGAGTCATCACCATGCTCAATCCATACATTAAGAACTCGAATGATCATAATATCAGTATAAGCACCCACACGTGGACCACGAAAGACCTTGCATGTGGAAATTGGGTCTGATACGAACGAAACACAAAGAAAACGACGAAAACTTCACACTCGACAGCATTCATTCACAAACCAACAAACAGAAAACTGAAACAGTAAGCAACAAAGGCGATACCTCGTGGAAGACTTGGAAGTCTGAAATCACGCGGCATTATACAACGATGCCTGACATGGAAAGACAATGGAAGATCAAAGATTTCTTCAAGTGTCAAGAAACAGAAACATAATGCAAAAGGGAAAATTATCGGCGAGCATACCCCATTGAATACACAACTGCTCCTGATCTAGAATCCGCGCAGTACTGTAGTTCGTGGGAGGAGAAGTTCAGAGAACAGGGGAAGTTAAAAGACAGAATCAGAAGCGAAATGAAGAATCGGTGACAGTTGGTCCCCAAAACGTTTTCGCATCACCGTTATAAAATAACAAATTGAATATTAAATGGGCTGGTAACTGTCCCCCTAATGGACCGAACAATTATAGAATGGGTTTCTCAAAAGCCATAGAAACTTAATATAAGCACAAAGTCATCTCCTATTGGGGCTAAATATGAGAATTCTGGACACAATTCATTTATCCACTTCTGTATCATAAAAGAGGGGCCATTATTTATATTTTTCTATACGCGTCCGGGTTTGAAGCAAATTGAGTACACACAACTGTTCCATTCGAGGACACTTTACTCATGTATCCGTAGTTTGTGACTGTTTATTCATTTTGTAACATTGTCAATGGTCTAAGTGATACCACACAATTAAATTAAAGTTTGCTCTTGTTGTATATCTAGAACATGAGTTGTATTCGGTTCCTCGTTCATGGTTATGTTCCTCAAATTTGGTGCTGTTAGGGTCAGTTTTTCTGATATTTAGATGACTATCCATGACAGTTTTTCATGGTTATGTTCCTCTAAATATAGATGCCTGTGGATGGTCATCTAAATATATAGATGCCTTCCACACGCAACGATTTACTGGTTGGTCCTCTTTTGTTGCATACATTCTAAAACTGCAGTCCACCAAGGCAATCAACGTTTCATCCGACATCATAAAAATACATAAACAACACCATCATATTCCGCACAGTAACAATACAGAGAACTTTGTACAAAAGAAGCTCGTTAGATACAATTACACTCCCTAACTCTGATTGTTACTCTGCCCACCAAATGTAACCATCTCTCACAACGTTCAAAGTACCCAACCGGGTAAAATAGTAGCAATTGCAAAGACAACACCTGTTCTGCCACCATGTAATAGTTCAAGGGTCACTACTAAAACACATCACAGAAAAGAATGGCAACAAATAGCAACAAATAGCAATAGTGGATTCTAATCCTACCGAAGAACGTAATCACTCGCGGGCTCCAAACACACCCAAAAGACTTAGAAAATCACTATAGGAACTGGAGCTTTACTGAGTTGTCTCTCGTCTCGAGACAACTACCAACAACTGATCTTCCATTTCTTTCTCAAGGAGAGCCAAGTCAAATCCATTCCTCCTCTGAGTCCTCTTTCGCCTCGAGACCGCCACCAAGAACTGACCTCCAACTTCTTTATCAAGGAGGGTCTAGTCAGATCCCTGCCTCGTATCAGAAACCCATAGAGAGAAGAAGGTATGCGAGAAAATACAGCCAGAAAAAGAGGAGTAAAGGATCAGACTTCTGCGGGTAATGTGCTCAACTTCGCAAAGGCCCACGCAGGAAATCCAGCCCAAACTCCAAAAACCCAGGTAAAACCCACAAAGGCGGTAACGTAACAACAATGATCACACGAACCTAGAACGCAAAAGAAGAAAAAAAGTAGAGGGTAAGACAGGTAGCTGACGCGACCTACAGTCAGTATTCTATACTGGTCAGAAGTAGGCGCAAACAGAAGACACATTCTTCATTCTAACTGGTGCAGGGAAATAGCAGATGCCGGGCTCCTCATTCCTCATCGAATCAACCCCTCCATCCTCATCTAAATTACAAAAAACTTATCAAATCCACACAACCCATAAAACAATCCTTGATTTAAGAAGCCGAAAATCACCAACAATCACTGAAACAAAAAGATGAAAAGAAAGATGTGATTATATATCGATACATCGGAGATTCCTGACGATGGATCAAATCCCTTGATCAATGAGCATCTTAACTTTTATGATGATCAACAAAGGTTACTGGCAAATACTATGATCAGCAAACTGAACACAAAATAGCCTTCCAACAACATGCAATTACGAACAGAAAACAGGATCCAAACGATCAAGAGACTCGCAAAAAGAGAAAAGAAACTGAACAGAAAATAGCCTTCCAACTACCTGCAATCACAACAGAAAAGAGGATCCAAACGATTAACAGACTCGCAAAAAGAGAAAAGCAAACTCGACATAGAGAGACGGACAAATCAGCTGGGACGAATACAAAACCTGCGAAACTGGATCTTTTCCAGACCTCTCAACTGTCCTCCAGTGTACCTGGATCTCCTCCAGATCTCTTAAACCTTCTTTTTCCAATAAGAGAGCCGAGAATTCCCAACGCAGATAGACCACCGAGGGCGCGAGATGGAGAGAGAGCAGGCGGAGAGGTGAATAACAAAAGGGGAGAGAGTATCATGGTAAAGAGAAGCAAAGTTTCTTTAAGCGGGAAGATGAATGAAGAAAAAGAAAAGAAACAGATCCTCTCAATTAATTAATGGCCTAGCCTGCACAAAATAGTAATAGCCTCTCTCAGCGTCGAACAACGCAAGGACTTTCCAGGCCCTCCCAGAGGCACCCAAAACCGGTCTTTTCATATATAGTAGAGAAAACATATATAGTAGAGAAAAAGCATGTCAAGTTGTCTCTCTGTATCTAGAAAACCCTCAACTGTCCAGGAACAACCCACCTCTCCACTGTCCAGGTCTGTCACTCTGATCCACACATCCACAAACCCGTCAGATCTCCCAACCCTCAATGATTCCTCCCCAGCAGAACCACCAAAGCAACTGAATAAACCTCGATCCACACACCCGTCTCTACCAAAGCAGCATATAGATCTCTGATGATCTAACGCCCGTCAGAGCCACCAAACGACTCCAATGCAGAGATACTGAGCAACACAACTCCTTTCAATCAACTTTTCAGTCCCTCTCATGGCCCACCATCTCTGAGCTATCCCATCTCCCAGCACAGTCTCAACCAAAACCCGCCAGATCTTCCACCACTTAACGATCCCTACCCAACAGAACACCCACAGAGTAACGATCTAACGCCCGTCAGAGCCACCAAACGACTCCAATGCAGAGATACTGAGCAACACAACTCCTTTCAATCAACTTTTCAGTCCCTCTCATGGCCCACCATCTCTGAGCTATCCCATCTCCCAGCACAGTCTCAACCAAAACCCGCCAGATCTTCCACCACTTAACGATCCCTACCCAACAGAACACCCACAGAGTAACGATCTAACGCCCGTCAGAGCCACCAAACGACTCCAATGCAGAGATACTGAGCAACACAACTCCTTTCAATCAACTTTTCAGTCCCTCTCATGGCCCACCATCTCTGAGCTATCCCATCTCCCAGCACAGTCTAACCCAAAACCCGCCAGATCTTCCACCACTTAACGATCCCTACCCAACAGAACACCCACAGAGTAACCGAAACCCTCGACCGGCGTGCCCGCTCGGGCCAAAGTAAAATATCGATCTCTGATGACCAACGCGCGTCCGGGCCACCAAACGACCGCAACTAAGGCCAACCAGAAGGCAACGACCAGTCCCACCCCGACCAAGCCCCCAAACTCCATCAGATCTCAACGAGGCCTCACCCAACAACAGCCCACACGCCAGCCCACGCCAGTTTGAAACAGTACATCTCAGTCACGTTGTACAATAAAAGGTGTCTGCGTGTACAGTACCAGGGGCTGCGGTGGGTTTCTTTATTTCAATTTACATTTATACTAAATTTTTTACGGAATAGTGAAACGAAAAAGAAAAAAAGATAAAATAGAGAAAGGTAGGAAGGAAGCAGGGTACTGACTCTCACAATTTGCCCTACGCGCGGGTCCTTTCTTCCCGTGGCACTCGCATTTCTCTTTCCTCAACTTCTATTCCGATCACACTCTCTCTTCCTTCCTTCTTTCTTTTCCACTTCTTCGACCCTCCACAACTCCTCCAACGAACCTTCCCCCTTTCTTTTCATCTTCCCCTCGCCCAAACCCTAACCCTAACCCGCTCACATTCCCACTCAGCCCTGCCATTTCTCCTTCTCCATTCTCCCGCAAAACCCTAACAAATTGGCTTCCATGGATTCCCAGCAGAGCAACCTCTACGAGACGGCTTCGCAGCCGGACACCGGCACCGACGCATACACGTTCCTGGAATTCAACACTCAGGGCGAATCCGAGTTCGACTACCCGGAATTCCGCTCCCCGGTCGCCTGGCCCACTCCTTCCGACTCCCTCGCTGCCGCTGCTTCCTCCTCGTCCGTGGTGCCCGACCCCGTCGTAGTCGACCACCGCAGCGCACCGGCGGCAGCATCGTCGTCGTCGTCCGATCACCACCATTCCGATTCCCAAGCTGCATCGCCCGTGGCGTCGTCGTCGGTTGCGAAGGCAGCTGCGCGCGGCGGCCACGGAGTTGACGGCGTGGTGGCTGGAATGGGAGGGCTGAATTTCGAGGAGACTGGTGACGAAGACGGGTACGAGTTCGGGAAAGGGGATTTCACAGAGCACGCCTGCCGATACTGCGGCGTTTCCAACCCTGCGTGTGTGGTGAGGTGTAATGTACCGTCCTGTAGGAAGTGGTTTTGTAATTCGAGAGGGAATACGTCGGGTTCTCATATTGTCAATCACCTGGTGAGTCTGAATGCTTTTCTTCATTACAGTCATCTCCTGCGTTTTTAATGGGGGCGGTGAAGTGGTTGCGTACAGCGGGCAGCTGACAACGGCTTAATGTTAAGAATCGTAGTTGAAATTTCATAGTGTTGAGTTTTGTGTTTAGAAGTATAAAAGTGAGAAGTAGGTTGAGGAATGGTTTGAGTGAATAGCTTCTGTGAAGAATCTTAAGTTTTGTAAGTTGTTTATTTCTGGTGGCATTGAGCTGCTTTAGCTATTTTATTCACTATGTTGGCTTTTGGGATCAGATTAGAGGGAAACGTGGGTTATGGTCTCAAATGCATGTCACAGTGGGTAGATACTTATGAATGTCTAGTTAAGGAGAAATTGAGGAACCGGTTGGATCACCTATACTGATTTTCCCACCTAAACCCTCTTCGAAGGAGTTGAACATGGGACAATTTGAGCATCAAATTTTATAGATTCTGTCAACTTAATAGTTTGATTGGCAGAATTCGTTGACCTCAAGCTCTTAAGAAACCTATATTGCGAAGATAAGCACATAGCACAGCTGTGGAAAGTTGTAAATGCATGCTTAGCTACTTCTAGTTAGGTTTAACTATTTTATCAGTTACTGTGTTGCTTTTGTTTAATCCCAGACGGAAATTATAGCCCTTTCTGTCTTCTCCTTGTCTATAGGTTGATATCTCTTAAATAGCTTAATATTGCTTGGATGGTGTTCTAGGTTCGAGCAAAACACAAGGAAGTCTGTCTCCATAAGGACAGTCCTCTGGGTGAAACTATTCTTGAATGCTACAACTGTGGATGCCGCAATGTCTTCCTTCTGGGTTTCATATCAGCCAAGACAGAGAGTGTTGTTGTTCTCCTCTGTAGGGAGCCATGCTTGAATGTTAACGCTTTGAAGGACATGAATTGGGACCTAAGCCAGTGGTGTCCTCTGATTGATGATAGGTGCTTTCTTCAGTGGCTAGTTAAGGTGAATTTTCCCTGTGACTTTTATTAATTAGTTTCTGTTACATCTTCCAAGGATGTCTTTAAAAGTTGTATTCTGCAGATTCCTTCTGAGCAAGAGCAGTTGCGGGCACGCCAAATTAGTGCACAGCAAATAAATAAGATAGAAGAGCTCTGGAAAAGCAATCCGGATGCAGCCCTTGAAGATCTTGAGAAACCTGGTGTCGACGATGAACCCCAGCCAGTAGCTCTGAAGTACGAAGATGCATACCAGGTAATGTGTCATGTACTTCTGAATGATGCATGTCTGGATTTGTAATATGTTATTAATGGTGAATGAGTTGGTGATTTCTGTTAAATTTGCAGTACCAAAATGTATTTGCCCCACTTATTAAGCTTGAAGCTGACTATGATAAGGTACTCATCATGGTTACGCTTTTTGTTATTTGTTATTGAAGCCTGCTTTTCTGTGGGAATATGTCCCAATGACAAAATTCTCTTTAATGTTGGCATTATCTCAATTTTCCTTCTCTTTCTATAGATGATGAAAGAGTCACAGAGCAAGGATAATCTAACTGTTCGATGGGATATAGGTCTTAACAAGAAGCGCGTAGCTTATTTTGTCTTCCCAAAGGTGGTTTTCTTGATTCATTTTTTGCGATTCTTTCACTGAAAGAATTCCTCGCCATTCTTGTTGCTGCTGCTAGTGAGGGTGCAAAAGTGCTTGATAAAAGCTAATTGGGTTGTTTAAATGATTTAGGAGGATAACGAGTTGCGTCTAGTGCCTGGTGATGAACTAAGGCTGCGTTACTCTGGAGATGCGGCTCATCCAGCCTGGCAGTCTGTTGGGCATGTGGTACGCCCAATATCCTGGAACATTTTTTTAGCTTATGATGCCCTTCATGTTCCTACCAGTGTTACGAGACAGTTTCTCTTAGTTAATTGCTAGTCCATCTCATATCCTCTTTGACGTATACAGGGTAGAATTCATATGTTTGTTCTTTCTTCAGATAAAGCTAACTGCACAAGAGGAAGTTGCTCTTGAGCTTCGTGCTAGTCAGGTGGTGATTTTTCTGTGCTTAGTTTATGGTTCTGGGTTGCTGTAGGTGAAGTGATGTTAATGCTACTGGCATGTGCAGGGTGTTCCTATTGATGTGAACCATGGTCTTAGTGTTGATTTTGTCTGGAAGAGCACAAGTTTTGATCGAATGCAGGGTGCAATGAAAACATTTGCTGTGGATGAAACAAGTGTCAGCGGGTCAGTTGCATATGCGGTTCTTTTTTATTTAATGAATCCTCTTATTTTAGGGCAGATGTTCTTTGTTGGACTCTTTTCGTGTCCCCTTCACATGCTAGAACTAATATGCTTAGTGTAGGAAATGCATTGGATTTCAGAAGTGTAACGATTATTGCTCTTGGAACCTCTGGTCAAACTTGGTCTAGTATGAAGATTATTGTGGCTGGTTAAGAGTCATAGATACCGTGGAAGTAAACCTAACAGAGAAGATATTTATCATCTGTTGAACTTGGGCTTACATGAAAAAGAGACCATAAAGTATCTGTGTTTGTTAACTATTTACTCCTTGGATGCGAGTCTCACTTGTCCATTTTACATCAGGCTGTGAATATTTGGCCATTGAGTTACAATAAATTTCTGTAATTCACAGGTTCATATACCATCATTTGTTGGGACACGAGGTTGAAAATCATATGGTTCGCAACGCAATGCCCCGCCGGTTTGGTGCACCTGGGCTTCCAGAACTGAACGCATCTCAGGTATGGTGATTGGAGGTCATCAGGTCAATGCATTCTTTAGCCAATGTATGCCTTGTCAATACTTGTACTCCTGGGTCCTTCACATTTGCTCCAGGGTTAAGTGGAAAGAAACGTAAACTACATTTCATGAAGTGCATCCCTTTGTTTTTGTGAGTGAACATTCAGGCTTCTGCATGTTATTTTCTTTTTCTTTTAAGCATGTTTTTCTTAACTTTGAAAAATAAAAGCATGGCATCCTACAAGATCTGCACAATCCCCTTACTTTCTTCATTAAGAACTTGAAGTATAAGCTCATCAATAAATAAATGTATTAATGTATAAAAAAAAATTATGTTGGTATTATTCTTTTTAAGAATAATGTATCGATGATAGATAGGATTAAAAAAAATCAATGAAGTATTGTTTTATTTTCCAAGAATTATTAGATGTGCTTATTATTGAAGTGGTTAGTTAAATTGGTTAATTGATTCCCATGTTTGTGCTTGGCACTCTTAGTTTTCAGTACCATTCTTACAGTAGGAGGATATCATTTTTCTTGAGTTGACCTTCTTAACAAGAGGCGAGGGACCGATTTTGTATTATACAATTGAGCTAAAACTCTGTTTACCACACAATCCTACCATAGCCTATATGTCACTCAGTATTACTGTGCTTTTTTTCTTCTTCTTCTGGTTCTACGACGTTAATCACTGCATCGTTGCTTCATCTGCAATGTAGTTTTGTTATTATCGAGTACTAACACCTGCCTGTTCCACAGGTATATGCTGTGAAGAATGTCCTACAGCGCCCTATTAGTTTGATTCAAGGTCCTCCTGGCACTGGAAAAACCGTTACATCTGCTGCAATTGTCTACCATATGGCCAAACAAGGGCAAGGGCAGGTTTGAAAGCATTTTATTGATTTCATAATTTTTAACAGAAGCATTGCTGTCTTATTAACTTTTTTTCTAAATTAGGTTTTGGTATGTGCACCAAGTAATGTGGCTGTAGACCAACTAGCGGAGAAGATAAGTGCCACTGGCTTAAAGGTAACTTCATCCTTGGATACTTTTTTCTGAAGAACAATAAAATATTTGTGCCACGATACATTAGGTTTTGGCATTAGTTTCAATTTCTATGTTACGTACAAATCGCAACGGTGTATTGGACCTAGTTTTGGTGTTTAATTCTTGTGTAAGTTGCTGCATGGTTAGTCACTGTTAAACCGACTCACCCTACGTTTCTCCTGTTTATGAAGGTTGTTCGCATTTGTGCAAAGTCGAGGGAAGCTGTTAGCTCTCCTGTTGAGCATCTGACTCTTCACTATCAGGTTGGTTCATTGATCTTTACAGCTTATTTTTAGCAACCTGTTAATTTTGTTGAGCCTATCCTGGACACAAATTTATATTACTAGTTATAACTTCAGGTTAGACATCTTGATACTTCCGAAAAGAGTGAACTTCACAAGTTGCAACAGCTAAAAGATGAACAAGGTATGTAGTTTCTCTTTTCTTCAGAAAATTGTTTCTAGATGTAGTCTCTCTTATAACTATGATGGTTAGCATGATGTTTGCTAGAGTATACGATGGACCTTGCTTGTCTTTTTTGTCAGTGTTTGCTTATTTGAACTAATTTTTAGCTTTTATGAGTTGCAGCTGAACTGACTTGAAAGTTCTCCTACCATGCATTGAGCTTTCTTTGTTCCCCTTATATATCGTTGTGCATTACAGGTGAGCTTTCCAGCAGTGATGAGAAGAAGTACAAGGCTCTGAAGCGAGCTACAGAGAGGGAGATATCTCAGAGTGCCGATGTCATATGTTGCACGTGCGTTGGTGCTGGAGACCCTCGTCTTGCAAATTTTAGGTTCCGCCAGGTAGAGATGCATATTGTCTGCACTTTCATTCATTCTTATGATGAAGTTGCTTATATCCTTTGTGTTGTCTAGGTGCTTATTGATGAGTCCACTCAATCGACGGAACCTGAATGTCTGATTCCTTTAGTTCTCGGGGCTAAGCAGGTATATGGCATAATTATTGAAGTTGGGATCACTTGAATGCTCATCCTTCAAGTTCTGACTAATGATGTATTTTAGGTTATACTTGTTGGCGACCACTGTCAACTTGGTCCTGTTATTATGTGCAAAAAAGCTGCTCGAGCTGGACTAGCACAGTCTCTATTTGAACGCCTCGTCTTACTTGGAGTAAAACCAATTAGGCTGCAGGTTGGTTTGGAATTTCCTCTACTTTTCTGCATACATTAAGTTAGTTCCAAGTTTTATTTTGCACCTGCTGGTCTGTGAGGGCTTTTCTCTCTACATCTGACGTAGGAGTTCAAATGCAATCTGGCTTCTTTCTTCTTTGCTATACTATGGCATGGTTTTTTTAATGAAGATGCAACTCTAGGAGTTTGAGCTGCAGTTTCTGGAGTTCATGTTAAAACATCTGTAGATATTGGATTAGAACTTTCCAGCTTGGTGCAAGGTCTCTGAAGTATGGTGGATCTTTTCGAATATTCTTCTTCCAGTGTCTTCCATTTAGCTATCTGCATTTTTATAGGATGGTTGTATACTGCCCATATTGGCTGGCTTTGGTAGTTGTGCTTCTTTCTGCTGTGATTTAAATATCCAAGATGTCCAATAAGTTGTACTTGTGCTGAGTCTAGAATGAAGTTTTTAGATGTTTCTTGTAACCCTATCACTTGCTTTGCTGCTATAATTTCAGAACCTTTCACATTAAATGTTTTTTAAGATATTATCCTATGATTTGCCACTTTCAGGTTCAATATCGAATGTTTCTTGTAACTCAATCACTTGCTTTGCTGCTATAGTTTCAGATATTTGACATTATATGTTTTTGTAAGACATTATCTGATGATTGCCCACTCTCAGGTTCAATATCGAATGCATCCAGCTCTTTCAGAGTTCCCATCTAATAGCTTTTATGAAGGTACCCTACAAAATGGGGTTACTGTGAATGAGAGGCAAACAACAGGCATTGATTTCCCCTGGCCTGTGCCTAATCGTCCTATGTTCTTCTATGTCCAGGTACATAGCTCTATAATAATGAGATCTGGTCTCCCAAGTAAAGAATTATGATTATTTAAAATGACAATTGATCTTTCTAAGAATCTCTAAAAATAACTTTAACTGTGGTACCAATAGATGACCTCATTTCTTTATGCTTTTCTGTATTATCTTGCCGAAGCCATGTGTGTAACTAGATATTTCTTCTTTAGATGGGGCAAGAGGAGATAAGTGCTAGTGGAACCTCCTATCTGAATCGTACCGAGGCTGCAAATGTTGAGAAGATTGTAACTACTTTCTTGAGAAGTGGTGTAATTCCTAGTCAGGTGGGCTGCTTTTCTCAATCTCGTCGTTGATGTTATACTGTGTGGTACTGTAATCTGAACTTTCTTTTATTAGATTGGGGTGATAACGCCATATGAAGGCCAGAGAGCATATATTGTGAACTATATGTCGAGAAACGGTGCTCTTAGGCAGCAACTTTACAAGGAAATTGAGGTAGGATTCAGGTTTCAAATTTCTTGATAACATATATTTTCTTGAAGATACTCCCATAAATTTACGTTGAGTTTGTCTACAGGTTGCTAGTGTTGATTCATTTCAAGGCAGGGAAAAGGATTATATTATTTTGTCTTGCGTTAGGAGCAATGAACATCAGGTTGGTTTGTTTTGCCCAGTGTTGCTTGCACGTGTTCGCATTTCTGTTAATTGTCTTGAAATAACACAGTGAGGTACTTCCATGTAATGGATAATCTACTTCTATGTTTTCAGGGTATTGGGTTTCTTAATGATCCTAGGAGACTTAATGTAGCTCTTACTCGTGCACGATACGGCATTGTAATACTGGGCAACCCAAAAGTCCTTAGCAAACAGCCATTGTGGAATGGTTTGTTGACACACTACAAGGTATTTTTCTGCAAACCTGTAGTGTTAGGCTTGGATATTATCAGTTGCTGTTTGACTGTGATATGGAATATAATAATTCGTTCCCATCTATGCTGTTCTACCTACTCATTGCTGTGTATTTTCCATGTGTATCCCATCAGGAGCATGAATGCTTGGTTGAGGGACCTCTTAATAACCTTAAGCAGAGTATGGTACAGTTTCAGAAACCCAAAAAGGTGTGGTAGACTGGCATTGTATCACTAGTTAGCTATTTGTTATCCTTCAGGAATCGATTTGTATATCTAATCTTTTTCAATTGATTGTTATTCTTGTGTTGTCACATTATAAACAGATCTATAATGACAGGAGACTTTTCTTTGGGGGTGGACCTGGAGTGTTGCCCAATGATAGTCTCGGATCGGTTGCGTCGAGTGTTCCGAATACTGACAGGCGAAGCGGGCGTGCCAGAGGTATTCTTCGTGAACTGATTCACTCAAAGAAATTATTAGCTTCCATATTTTCTGTTGATAATCATGTTAGAATTATCTGGTTTATTCTCTCATAGGATTGGTGCATATTTAGAATTGGCTAATGGGTTCACTTGTGAGTGGGTTCACAGGATGGATTTAAGTGTAGAACTCAGATTATTTGGGTACAAAGTTGGACTTTTGACTCATTTTTGCGAACATCTGGAAGGTTAGGTACTGAAGTATTAGACACAATTTTAGACACCGAATGCTAATATCACGGGGGCCCATCAACACACCAAGTAAAGGGTTTGGGGGGTGGGTGGGGATGGAATTAAATGGGCTGGTTCCCGTAACATCAGTGGTGCTTTCCCATTGTTGCTGACTGCAAGCAAATATCCTCTGCCTCTGATGTTGACTCCTATAACCTCACACTTTCATGTTCACACGTGGCAGGTGGCCCAGCAAATGGTGCTCACAAGCCTGGTGTGCACCCGACTGGATTTCCAATGCCACGAGTGCCAATGCCAACATTCCACGGCCCGCCTCCTCCTCAACCTTATGCGATCCCATCACGTGGTGCTGTGCATGGACCTGTCGGAGCTGTTCCTCATGTACCTGCACCAGGAAGTCGTGGTTTTGGGGCCGGGCGTGGAAGCACCACTGCTCCTATTGGTAGTCATCTTGCACACCAGAACAATCAGCAGGCAATTGGAAATATTGGACCGAATTTCAACTTCCCTGGTTTGGAGAATCCCAATAGCCAGCCATCTGTTGGTGGCCCATTATCTCAACCTGGATTTGTGAACAATGTATGCTATGTTGTTAATGACCCTCTTCATGGATTTTTCTGCTTTTTGTATGAAACTTATTATTAATTGTTGGAGTGCTTAATACATGGCAGATGCCAGTTCAAGGGGCAAGCCAGTCTTTTCGTGATGGTTTTTCAATGAGTGGAATGTCCCAGGTTTGTGGATTGTGTATTTGTAGTACTGTGTTTTTCTTATTTCTTGGCTGTAATCCTCTATTGGGCATTCATCAGGATTTCTTGGGCGATGACTTTAAAAGCCAGGGATCACATGTGCCATACAATGTTGCAGACTTCTCTACCCAGGTACGTGCATGAACTTATGAACGGTTTTATTGTTCGTGATGTTGTAAATAGTGTTGCCGTTTCTGTAAGCTTATCAGATGAAACGCTGCTTTGGTTTTAGGCTTCCCAAAATGGGTATGCTGTTGATTATGTTACACAAGGAGGACAAGGTGGATATCCGGGCAATTTTCTGAATCAGAATTCACAAGCTGGATATTCTCGTTTTGGTTCTGGAAATGACTTCATGACTCAGGTTTTTTGTCCTTGTGCAATACGAGCTCTCTCTGTTTTACTTAATGTAGACTTTTTCCTGACAATATTAGGATGCAAACAGGACTACATGGGTCATGCTACACAAGGGCTGTTCACTCAGGTCGGCATGAATGATCCCTCGCAGGATGAAGCGCCACAAAGCCATTTTAGTATGGCTAATCCTAATTCGCTTCAATCCCAGGTTCATAACTCTTCAGCTCTCATCACAATTATAATCTTGTGCATGTACCTTAAGCGTCTAAATCGTACACGTGTAGCACACGTATTAATGAATAAAAATGACTTTTTCTTAATGGCGTTCTTATCTACTTCTAAGTTGTTCGTTTCAATATTATGAGTAATACCTGGCTTTCAAATGTAGTAGTAGTATTTGAACTTAAAATGAAACATGGTACTTATGTGTACTGTATTTTGCTAACGTTAGTTCCTTGACCTATGCAGGGTTATATGAATTCGCTGTACTCTCAGCCTTTCGGCCATTACAACACTCAGCCACCCAACTTACAGGCACCACAACAGCAGCAGCAGCAGCCTCAGCAGGGCCAGGGGTCCCAGAACCAGAAAATACACTATAATGGTTGAGAGGTCAGAAAGGCAGTGATTTTTGTTGGTTGTGATGGGTTCTATGTAGTCTTTGCAATCCAGCAACTTGGTTCGTGCTGCCGTGTTTGCCCCCCTCCTATTATAATCCTGTCCAGAGGTGCAAGATGTTCGTTGGTTCGTCAAGGTCAGTCGCAAAGCCCATGAGATCATGAGAATAAGCTGTAGTAAGAGGGATGGTCTGGCATAGCTTGGGCTAATGGGGCTGTATGAAGCAGACATGGTCAGCACATCCAAGGCGCAAATGATCAATTGGAAAGATGAAGATAAAACCCCTTTCGTTGGCCTGCTGAAACAAAAGAGTAATGGTTAGGAATTATCCGAAGAAGGGAGCATTACATGGGTTGGATTTGTTCGAAGGGGTTTGGAGGAGATTTTGAGTGCAAACCGAACTAGTCAACTACAAATACATATATCTCGAGGAACACAGAAGTGGTGCTGAAGAATATTGATACATATGCTGTTAGCAGGAACGAGCGCCCGTCTGTGTACAGAAAGATTGACTAGGGAAGTTTTTCACTAAACCCTTTCGTCTCATCCTGACATGTAATTAGACTCTTTTGCCAAATATTATAAGTTGCTTAGAAAGATTGGGATATGGTTGTTTTCTCTGGTGGTGTAATTTGTTGATTGTAGGTTTTGGGATTTGGTTGTGTTTTTTTGTGGTTTCTGAGTCCCACTGTTGTCTGATTGGAAGAGAGTAAGGACTGAGAAATTGTAACCACCAGAGTTTGCTGGTAATAGAGAAGTATATCTAAATTGGGTTATTAGGGTTATTAAACATTTGTGTCCTTTCTTCATTTTCGACATTTTGTCGCAATTGCTAACTTTTCTTGTGAGCTCTAAAGAAAAATACATTTCTATATACTACAATTAAGTGTTTACTTTTATCTTTTACTCTTTTTATTTAAAGTTTCTGAGTTAAAATGGAAGAGATAACCAACTAATAAAAATCTGGCTTGATAAAATGATAGAAGTATATGGGAATTTTCATATTGCCTCTCTGTACTCATCATAATTAATTGATGGTCTAGTTGAATTGAGAATAGGCCACTGGTGTTGAGGTTTTGTAACTTTTTTTTTTTTTTTGGATCTTTGGTTTTTTTATTTTGGATCTTTGGTTTTGTACAAATCAACGGATAAATCAACGGATAAATGTCACATTAGGACAGTGAGATTACTAAATCATATCATGTTTAGTCACTAGAAAAAAATAATATTAATTTTGGTCACTCAAATTACTGAAACATGTCACATTTAGTCACCCTTCCGTTAGTTTCCTTCCAACTCCATGGAATTGGACCGAAACTAACGGGAGAATGATTAAATGTGACTTGTTTCAGTAATTCGAGTATCATTTACCCGATCCATGAGAGCACTAATGAGAAAGAACCCACTAAACGTGATTCCCTAACACACACATCAAGTATCATTTTCTCATCAATTCGTTGTATGCGTTCTTAATAGGCTAACTTTCTTAAAACATCCCTTTCCTTCTCGTTTAAGTTGCAGTTCTAACATCCTCCATAAATACCAGATTACCAGCACCAAAGAGCTTCACCACCATTCACTTCTTTAAGATAAAAACTCAAGAGCAACTACTTCTCATCTGCGCCGATCGACTGTCACTTATGGAAAATGGGTACGTTTCATTTTCCTTGATGCTTTTCTTAACCTCACTTCAACTCGGCCACCTAAACCATTGAATTCCTAAATATTTTGGTTTTGCTCAATGATAGCAGAAACTCTTGTGTTATAGGCTTGTAGCATTACTAAGGGATCACTTCTCGTATTTCTCGAGAGGGCCATTTTCATACTTTGCTCCATATTGAAGAGGTTATATGTTCAAATCTAGATCATTATCCTGTCAATAGTAATAATCTGTTTGAACATTATATATAGATAGAATGAAGAATCGTTACACTGATAACTAAAATTGTGGACAAACAGATTCAAGAATGAATTTTAGCATTATAACACGTATATGAACAATCTTCGTGCCAAAGCTCAATTTCGCATCATGTCCCATCGTATTCTTTTTAATCTCCTACTATCCTAGTAACTCATTTTAGCATAATTCAAAATGGCAACAATGACCACTCCCATGCTTGTGCGGAAGTTATTTTTACAGAAATTTGTGGAATTTCTTCGATTTCGTCCGAGGTATAGGTTGTGGTTCGTTGGTAGATTGGAAAACAGAATGACTCATTCGGCAGCCAAGAATGCTATGATTTTTGTCACCTCGCTCATTAGGGAGGTTCGACTATGTTGCTTGGGTTTCTAGCCACTAGGTTAGCTGTATTGGTACTCTTGTTGATCGGTGTTCTATCTCTCTAATCAAGAGATCTAATTGAGGGGGAAAAAAAACTATTAAAAATATTTTTTGCACCACCTTATTTTTTTTAGTTTGGGCTTTCCCCTTGCAGAGAAAGAGAAACCAATACCACAAAGCCCAATTACTCAGCATCAGAAGCCCAACGCATCGTGGACACGATCGACATCCACCAGAAGGCCCTGGACGACCTGGTCAACGTGAACTCCCTCTTCACCATCGCCGTCTTCGTGGGCCTGTCCCTGGCCCACCGCGGGGAGCGCAGCCTGGAGGACCGGGCCGAGTGCGACGCCGACCCGAACATACCAAAACGGCTCGTCGTATCGGAGGTGGTCTCGTTCGCCTGCTTCCTGCTGTCCAGCCTCGTCGCCAAGACGCTGAAAGTCCACCTCAACATCTACCGCCACAAGGCTGACGTCATGCGGAGCAACGCCCTGAAGGCGATAAGAGGAGGCCTTTTGATGCTTTCCGCCTGGGGATCGATTCTCGGTTGCTTGTTTCTGACGCTATCGATGGTTGACGTGATACAGATTCGGGTCGGGAAGATCTCGTGCGGCAGCGTCTACGCCGTCAGGGCGGCGGGGTCGCTGGTGGCGATCGTGTTCCTCGCGTTGTCGATTTATGTGCCGTTTATGATGCATGCGATCTATGTCTCGATGAAGCATGTTTAATTTAAAGTCGTTACTTTTTGGAAATAGATTAACAAAAAAAAAAAAAAAAACATTGGTTAAGCATTTTCTCGTGTAGTGATAAATTTTGATAATAGTGGCAACTTTCGCAACTCATATCATGATAAGAACTTATTTTGGTTGATTGTAGGAATTACATATGTATATCTCACCATGTTCAGAGTGTTTTCGGTTTTCACATGTAACTTCTCCCAAATTACGAAAAAGTAATTAATTTAACAATAAAAATGTCTTACAACATCATCACAAGATATGGAAAAAAAAAAAAAACAAAATAGAATTGATTGATCCAACACCTAAAAACGCAGCGAACTCAATTATGTCGCTTTGGCTTTGTTTCATTGCACCGTCATATCATACTCGAAGACCACTTAAAGAGTATGTCACCTCCCGGCCACCTACTTAACATAACATTTTTTTGATACCTTGAGCAGGCCAGATTGGTGAACAACTATTTCTTCAATTATATTAAATTCTTAGGTATAAAGGAGTCTTTGAATAGATTGAGCAGGAAATGAAAGTGATAGAAAAAAAAAAGGTGCATAAATATTTGCTAATTGTATAGAAGTTTGAATTGGGTTTGAAAGGGAAATACAGGAAGTCCAGCAAAGGAACGTGGAATCCTAATTAGAAACGGTAAACAGAAACAGTTAAGTCTAGCTCTGGGTGTCGTCTTTGCCGGTTTTAATGGGTTGAACCGGTCATCCCTTCCTTCAACGGTCATCATGCAAATTCCCTGTTCCAGCTAGCGGTCAAATTGATCTTCTTCCCATCATAAATGAATTAAAGATAATATAAGGAAGTGGTTAAGTTAGGCAGTTAGCACAGATGATTTCTCCCTGTTATTGAGACTAATTGGTTTATGATATGGTATCAGGAGAAATTTTACAATGCTATATAGTATTGGTGCTATAGGTTTTTGCCTTTATGGTACAACTTAAAATTGTACATTTACGTTATGGTACAATTTCAGATTGTACCTATACTTTTGGTACAAATTCTTTTATGGTACAACTTGAACTTGTACCATATGTGATGGTAAAACTTTAAGTTGTAAAGTTGTACCATAACATAATGGTACAAATTGTTTTATGGTACAACCTAAACTTATACATTTAATGTTATGGTACAACTTTAAGTTGTACATTAAAGCACCAATACTATATAGCATAGTAGAAGTGCTCATGGTATCAGACCTGATTTGTACTTGAGGTTATGTATTCAAGTTCTCATGACCCACAATATTAACTATTATCTTCAAGTAGGGCTGGCCCTGAGGGTGTGCAAGCCGGCCCTCTGGCACAAGGCCTCCAAATTTTGGGGGCCTTCGGACCTCCACTATGTATATGACTAATCACTATTACAGAGTATTAGATTTCGATTATAAATCTAAAACGATAGAAAATTTATGAATTGGGTTTTGATTACGGTATAAAGCAATCATAAAATATTTAATTCCGAAGGTTAAAGGAACGGAGGAATCACATGAGGTGAATACTTGTTTTCTTATTAAAATATTTTCAAACCATATAACATAACTTATTACGCGTGCTTCCTAAATAGAACAAAAAAGCTAATTGATGATGCCTCATTATTATCATTATTAAATTTGTTGCTTTAACTTTCTTCATTTTCAGCTTTGCAAGGGGAAAAGAATTCAATTTTTTCAATTAATCTGCTTGTTCGGCAATAGTACTTAATTAATTAAATAATTCACATTGATTTATTAAACATTAACCAAAATAATTAGGTACAACCACCAATAGTATCAAGGAAAAGATAACTAAATCAATTATAATTCGCATTGACTTATTAACTATTCATGTGACTGTTGCTACAATAGGAAGAAACTTTTTGAAATTGAAGTTGTTGAAGTCTTATATGCACTCTACAATAACATAAAAGAGGCTTAACGAGTTAGCTATGTTAGCAATTGAGAATAGCTATTTCGATGATGCAAAGATGGAAGAGCTAATAGAGAATTTTATTTCAAATAATACTAGATGGTTGTTACTTTTAAACAATGTAGATGATTTTATTCCTTTTACAATCACTTTATGAACTTAAATATTATTAATTAATAATTTTTAGTTTTAATAAATTTACAGAAAATTTTTTAGGATCGCATTTTAAATTTTCGAACAGGGCCTCCCAATATCATAAATCGGCATTGTCTTCAAGCACATTATACAATGGGTTTGTCCAAATTACAAATACATGAGTTAACTTTTATTTGAAGAAGCATGTAAGAAAGTGATTTTAGTATCACATATAAGTTTCTTCCAATAACTGGGATGAGTTGGTTTATGAGAGAAAACAACCTCTCGTGTTTATTGATGAAGGCCCATTAGTTCAATCACATCTACAAGTGATACGTCTACCCTAAATTTGTACTTATTGAAATGCCACTTTATGATCTCAATGTGGTTTAGAAATCACGATTTCTCTTGCTACTTTAACATGGTTAACTGATTCTCTATTTTTCTTGATTTAGGAAGTGTTTCTAGTAGGAATGGCAATCAAACTCATGCCCACGGGTATCTGATCGCCCTTCTACCCAGTTAATGCGGGAAATCTCCGCATTGATCGGGTATGGCTGGGTATGGGTAAAACCCGCAAAAAGTTTGATGAGTATGAGGCGGGTATGGTTTTAGCCTCCCCACCCCATACCCATACCCGCCTCACCAAAAATATTTCTTCACATATGTAAAATATGTGAATCTATTTGTAACCTATCAATAATAGTGAGTATAACTCAATAAAAATATATAGTAGAAATGCAATTGAGTGGCTACCCAAATCAAAATCTAATTTATTTCTCTCAATTTTCCCAACACTCTTTCACATTTTCCCCTTGTTAACAAAATTATGTTAGTTAATTATTACTTAATAGATGTATCACAATAGTTTATAATGATTTGAATGACATTGTACTCTACTCTGATATGGATTGATGGATGCTTTAGGATAAGATGCTTTGATGATTGTCTCTTTGTCGACTTCATGATATAGTATGTGCGTTTAATGTTATAATTGAAAGTCTACATGTAAAATATTCCGTATTATAATGTTGGATGTACGGGGCGGGTATTACCCATAGGTACCCGAAATCCATGGGTATGAGAATGGGTTTGCAAAACTTTCCCCGTATGGGTATGAGGCGGGTATGAATATAGATATTTGAAAGCGGGGATATGGATTGTTTAGGCAAACCCGGCCCATTGTCATCTCTAGTTTTTAGTGCATTTTGGCGGAGCCAGCCCATTTTGGGTTGCCATGGGAGTCGAAACAAATATAAAATTTTGGAAAAAATTGTTGATACTCCATAGGTGTATATATGAGATTTGAATGTTAGGCCTTTATGTTGATATAAAAAGGTGAAATATATAGAAAGAAAGATATGTACTTGAGAATATAAATAACGTAATATTTTTACGATTTTTGTATGATATATGAAAATTGAGAACACGTTATGAAGGTTTATATATTAACAACCGTTTTACCTATTTTTTACTCTAACTCGCTCAACAACCCAAACTGACTAGATTACTAAACATATGTAAGAAATGAAAAACCTCCCGTATTACTATATTATATATAAATCCACATTTCATCGTACCGCCACTTGGATCACAACTATTGACTAGATAAAGAATTGAGACTCTCCTTCCTTCCAATCCTTGGCAGTGGAGATAGGCGGCCCAGCCCAGCCCAGCCCAGCTACTATTCCAACTGTCTCCAGGGGTATTGCTGACAAATACGAAGCTACCAAAATATTGGAATGCAAATTGAAACGGTCTGGTCAAACCTAATACAAGCAGAGAATAGAAGAGGTATCCTTTCAAATCTTAGTTTTGATTTCCCCATCTACCACCAAATCAACACAGCCTTTTCATAGTTACGACTTATTTTAGGAATAATAAAATATAAACACAGAGAATTGAATAACAACAGTACGCTAAATTAAGTGCAGAAACAAAGGACAGATGTGGGAAAAGGAAAACTATGTGCCCCATAGCAAGACATTTTCGATCACGGCCCATGTTCACAAGCTGAAAGATAATTGTTATGTTCAATCTTATGTTCTATACTTAATTTGAAGTTGGATAAAATACTAGAATGTCTTTCCTGTTCAAAAAATAATATGATATTGTGTCGATTAAAGTAAATTATGTTAACATATCAGTGAATGTGTCTCACAAACACAAAAATACTATCAGGTTTTTCTTTTAGTTGGGAACTTCTAAAGTACTCATTGGAATGATCATGAAGAACTGAAATTCAAAATACACCAAAAAATTTTAACATTACAAATGCTAGAGGTTGTATCGGACAAGCTAGCGAAATGATATTTAGTGATACAACAATAATTTAACCGATAACATGCCTACATGATACTATCATGAAAATAATACTAAAATAAAATAACATTGACCATAACCGGAAAAAAAAAACCAAGTTTCCAATACCATTTTGACTATATTGTACCGAACGATATAATTTTTTTCTTATATTAGATTTACATCGTACTAACCTAACTCACATCATAACTTTTTTCTAATCCGACTGTAATACTTACGATATCACAAACCACACGCTTTAACAACAAATCACATCTCAAATTCTGTAGTATTTTTCGGTCCACTTCACAATTTGTCTAAACCCTCAACACTCCCCATCCCTCCTGACTTGAACCATATTTCAGAATGAAGATTATCGTCAAATTATGCATGGTCATAATACTAAATTATTGAAATGCTCAGAACGAGGGAAATTAAAAATGGAAAAGAAAACCCCCGGATCTTTTCAATCATGGAGATACGGTGTAGTATCGTAGACGATTGGGTAGACCAAAGAGTTGTTTCTTTGAACGTTCAAATCCTCCCCCAACTCGGTCTGGTCCCCAACCCCAGCTCCGGCTTCTAATTAAAAAACTCTTAAAACCTAAACGCCTAATTAATTACTCTAAAAACGCCGCCGTCTCCTCCGCGTTTAGCCGTTTACTTACTACCCTCCCCGCGCCTTTTCCCCCAAATTTTTTTTTTAATAATAATTTATAACAATAAAAATCAACACGCCGATACAGTTTGAACGCATTTCTCCACACGAACAAAACAAACATGCTGCTTACCTTGAATGTTGAATATTTCACCGTCCAAAAACACCTCCTCTCCTTCTTGGTCCGCAGTCTTCCTTCCTCCCCTTTTGAACGCCGTGTCACTGACTTCCTTCCTTCCTTCCTCTTCATATATATTCATCTCTCTTCTTCCCAAAATCTTAAAACCAACAACGAATCGATAAACTCGTCAGAAAACCTTAGAACCAACAATCATCGGACAAAAGCAGCAGAAGAAGCACAGCAACATATACATATTCAGCAATGGGATTCGGATGGAGGAGGAAGAGAATGAGCAAGAGCAAGAGCCACCACGACAAACCTCACGATGAGGATTCGATTTCGATTGCCGGCGGTGAAGCGCTGGTTGTTCCGACGCATTTCAGGTGCCCGATCTCGCTGGACCTCATGTCCGACCCGGTCACATTGTCCTCGGGGATCTCCTACGACCGGGACGGGATCGAGACGTGGCTCAAGGCCGGCAACTTCACCTGCCCGGTCACCAATCAGGTCCTGATGAGCTTCGACCTGGTCCCCAACCACGCGCTGAGGAGGATGATTCAGGACTGGTGCGTTCAGAACTTGAGGTTCGGAGTCGAGAGGATCCCCACGCCGCGAGTACCCGTCTCCGGCGACGAGATCGCCGCCGTGCTCGCCCGGCTGGAGAGCTCGGCTAAAAGGCTCGATGAGTATGACTGCCGGGAGTGTTTGAGGAAGATGACCAGCTGGGGGAACGAGAGCGAGCGGAACCGGATTTCAATCGCGTCCAACGGCGCCGCCGGCGTGCTCGCCGCCGCGTTCGACGGATTCGCCAGGGAAACGGTGGAGAAGCGCGCGGTGGTTCTGGAGGAGCTGCTGAGCTCGATGAGCTGGATGTTCACGATGAACAGCCGGGGCGGGGGAAAGGAAGCAGCAGCGGCTCGCGACCGTCTCGCGTCGGCGGAATCGGTCAAAGCTCTGCTCTGGTTCTTGAAATCGAACGGCAGCAGAATCGCCGCCAAGCAGAACTCGCTCGTCGCGCTCAGGGAACTGCTCCTAGCGTCCTCGAAGCGAGAGCGAGTTGCCGAATCGATGCTGGAAATCGAGGATTTACACCAAATCCTCTTCGGATTCCTGAGATCCCCAATTTCCCCCGCCATCACCAAGCTCTCCCTAACCCTAATCTTCCAGCTCCTCCAGATCTCGACCTCGAAATCGAGCGATCGCTTCAAATCATCGCTAATCGACGCCGACCTCGTGTCGTTCCTCCTGGAGACGATAATCGCGTCCTCGAAAGAACGGAGCGTTAGCGAGAAGGCGTTGGGGATTCTCGACAAGCTCTGTGACGATTCCAAAGGCAGAGCCGCCGCGTCGGGGAACTCGCTGACGGTGCCCCTGCTGGTAAAGAAGATCCTGCGGATATCTGCGGCGGCGACGGAGTTTTCCGTGTCGGTGATTTGGAAGCTCGGGAGGTGCGAGCAGAGGGCCCTTGTGGAAGGGCTTCAGGTCGGGGCATTTCAGAAGCTGGTGCTGGTTCTGCAACTTGGCTGCGGGGAAGAGACCAAGGAGAAGGCGACGGCGACTCTGAAGATGATGAATCCTTTCAGGAACGAGTTCGAGTGCACTGAATCTCTGGATTTCAAGAACCTGAAGCGATCGTTCTGAAAACTGAAATTAGTGGTGGTGATTTTTTGGGGGAGGGATTTGGTATACCTAGTTAGAAGATGATTCTTTGGTGTAAAAAAAATGTAGTTGATGATCTAGTTAGGAGTGAGGATTATTTGGTACATGCAATACAGTAAGTACGATACAATTCTTTTTCACAAATCAATAACACCAATTGTGGGTTATGAAAATCATTGATAGTTTTCGATAAAACAAGAGTTAATGAAACTACCTAAGTTTATCTTTACCGATTCAGTTTTACAATGAGGACAAAATTTCCTACATTCTTGCCATGTGTTTCGTTGCGTGATTCGAATATGGTAATCATGAACACTGATATGAAGTTTACCGGTTGAAATCATTGTGTTTTATAATATAGCAAAATGGAAATTCAAAATGTTCTCCACCAACAATGAGGTAATTGAAAAAATAGAACGAAAAATCCAGAATAATGATACGATTATTGATGAAAGAACACAATACAACAATACATCGTAGCATATCTTATTGCGAATTCATCTAGTCATTGGGTGAACGATATAACCATTCCCAGTGCTTTTATCATTGGAGTCAGGCCTCTGGGGTAAAAGGGCGAACACACCCACACAACAACAACAAGGGCAAAATCCAGTACAATAGATAGAAAGTGAGTCTTTGTGTCTGATAATCTCATATATGTCCATAACAAGTGTGAAAAATAACCGCTTCTTAGATACTATTACAACTACAGATAATTAATCAAAAGGAGATTCTGTTCGATACAAATGGCAGTAAAAAACATGGCAAAACTCTACTCCTCCTTGGCCCTCTTCTCCACTTCCTCCAACCTCTGGATCTCCTTGTGGTACTTGGATATACGATAAAGACACCTGCACCGGTATGTTTAAGACGTAATTAGAACAACTCCTCAAGTAAGAATACAAGGTTTTTGAGAGACTTTGGAAGTGCAACAGTGACTGATTGCTTGCATACCAGTACAACATGCAAGCTGCAGCACAAAGAACTACATTCCTCTGAGATTTGTACATCTGCACGGCATAACGAAACAACGATGGTCTTGTAATCATCAACATGACAAAAAAGTCTCAGAACAATAATCCAAAGAGAGAGGAGGCATTAATGATCAGAACTAGAATTCAAAGTAAGCATATTATCACAGCTTAACTGAGTCTGGAGTCAACTGAGGCCAATTCATATGAGAGACTAGATACTAAGTTTTTTAATTTAAGAATTGCAGGGAGCACCAACTGTATAATGCTCAATAGTTACACCAATTTCAGACTCTCCCAATATCAGATAAGGCTGACCAGATGACGCCGAAATGTGGAAGATATTTACAAGAAAAACTGCTGGATAACCACTGCCTAATCTGCGACCTTCAGTTACTTTATGCTTTAAGCTCTGTCAAATCCTAGATATGACTGCAGAACTAGAACAGCTTCAGTAGCGAATAAAGATTCCTCAACGCCGTCATCAAGACGTATCCAGTGCACAGGGAGACATGAAAGCCTCTATCCAAGGGTTATCATGTTCATAATAGACTACGTAAATCACTAGTTATTCTTGTTCAGCAACCAGATAGTAAATCTACTGATCTGAGTGACTTGTAGTTGTAATGCTCACCCAGGACCATGGGATTTTGGAGCAAGGTTGAATCTAGTTGACAACAACAGTCTTACGAGGTTGACGAGCTACTAATTGTCCACAATCATCCAAAATGCTCCAGTGTATGCTCCAATGTACACGTAAAACTATCCTTTTGTGCAAGAGAGGCTCTTAGAACATATACCCTACAACCTAAGTTTTCTTTTCCCTTCTTACATCAATACCACAACTCTGCTGATTTCTGCCACCAGCCTATTGACAACAATCAACATATAATGGACGCAACATGAAACCACAAAGAGCTGAGTTGCCAACGCCAATCTAGTGTTTGTGATGGACTCATTATCCCATCCCATCCATGCGATCGTTTTCTTCGATGATATCCTCATCTACAGCAAGGATCGGGATTCCCATATAGATCATCTCCGCCAGGTATTCGACATTCTCAAGCAACACCAGTTCAATCCTATGCTTCCTACAGATACTAGCTAACTGCTAGCTCTGACTCAAATCCGACAAATCGGAACTCCACGCTATTATCAACGGGAGTTCGAGCGCCTCAGTGAGGGATGGGATGGGCTAATGAGTCCATCAGTTTGCACATCTACTCATACCCTCGGCCATGGGAATTAAGGGCTCCGTTCCTTACTATGACCAAGTTCAACATCAGCACAAGTAATCATTACCTCTCCAGTTCTACATCCAAATTCCCTCGACATCTAAAAGCTTTACAGCATCATTCTAATCGCTCCCTTCCTAATTATCTATCGAAATTCCTCTATGCTAGAGGCAAAGGGCCTCCACAAAGCAAACAAAAAAGCAACCAATCAATCAGTCAATTTACGAATTAAAACGGGAAGAGAAAGAATGGCATACAGTTTTCTCGTAACGATCCCGCTCAGTGGCGGTGCAAATCTCCGACGTGCATACCAACCGATGCTCATTCTTCCAGTAAATATCTGCAAAAAAAAATAAAAATAAAAATCAATCCAAACAGATCATTCATACACATCGATCCGATCGCCGCTCGAGCTGAAAACCGAATCTAAGACGAAATCGGGGAGAGGAGAAAGAAAGCCGACTTACCGAGGAGCTGGAATCCGGCAAATGGGACGATGAACATCGCCGGCTGGAGGATTAATGACACGAGAGAGACCAGCTGGTTCTTGAGTAGCTTTGGCGCCGGGATCGTCAACAGCGAGACGAGGACCACCTCCGCTGCCACCACGTAAGCCAGGATCATCCACTGCAAAGCCATTATCGTTTTTCTTTTTCTCCTACCTTCGACGGAAATGCTGGCTTGGAGCTCGCTGGACGAGTAAGAATTCTGGTTTCGGGAGTTTCTAGAAGCGGTGGATTTGGCCAAGCTGCTTGCCGAGGAAACTGGTTTAATATTCTTTGGTTTGTGGTTCTGTGCGGGTCCTGGGCCGGAATCCGGATCCATTGCTTTGCAAGGAAAGAATGCTTTTGTCTATTTCAGTTCTTTATTATTGAAGATGTTATGGGCTGGGTTTCAGTGCATTCGTGGGCCGATTCGGAGGGTTTAGATGTTATGTGCTGCCCTTTATGGACTGTAGAAAGTGTTGCTACTTGCTAGGCCAACAATAATAAAAGGCGATCACTACGATAGCAATTTCAACATAGCCCCTTTTATCCGATTTGTTTGGCCTGTTTTGAGTGGGTCCGATACGCCTCTAAATCACCCTGTAGGAGGGACGGGGCGAGCATGGATACTCTCATAAACCTGACCTATCCTGACCTGCACCATTCACAACTCGTTCTTGCCTAAATTACATGTAATCTAAAACTTAGTCAAATTACTTATAATTTTTCTTTTAATATATCATAATTTAGCTATAATAAAATTGTAAATTAGTGAAAACCTCAATTTCTCTATAATTGAACTACATTTATCATAATATTGTTTGTTTTCTTGGTCTTATAATAAAAATAACGACTATTTCTAATGTTTTTCGTATATATTGCATACTAATTGAGTCGAACTGCCCCGACCTGCGATCCGTGATAAATTTACCCACCTGAACACGACCTACCATGGGGCGGGTCTGGGTACCAAGAAACCCGCCCCGGACTTGCCCATTGCCATTCCTAAGGGTGGGGGAGATGGTAAATGGGCAATGTTTGTATTCAGGTTTGGAGTCCAAATTTTGGTAGTCTGTCATTTCTACATTACTCTTTTGGTGGTTATCAGCAAGTTGTATGTCCAATTGAACGGGAGCAGATCCAGTGAGTAACCTTATGGTGAGTAACCATGAGTAACCCGTCCACATCAGCATCTCTCTCCTGTAAAGCATTTTATATTTTCCCCTTTAATCTTTAACGGACGATTTCTCTTTCGCTTTAAGTCAAAATTTATATTTGTTTGCACAGATAAATCAGATTCAATGTGCTCTTCAAAATGATATCCACTTTGATATATTTTTTGAACACAAAAAATTGAGCCATTTTTTACCAGTCTATACCATATGGTATTGACTGGTATTGAAATAAGACCATGCATATGGTTTGAAAAGCGTATCATGGTGGTATGAGCAAACCAAGACTGTAGGATGGTTGAATACATGATAGTAGAAGTACATTAACTGTCATTTACGACTTTTAACATTGTGTACCACAAGATACCACCTCGTACCAGGGTGGTATTGTGTGATATTGTTTGGTCCTATAATTTGTTCACCCAGAAATTTGTAGATCCAATAGATCATGATGAATTCGTTCCTTCTGTGCAAACGTTTTCAAAAACGAAGAAGATACCATATGGTATGCAATTGGTACCGAGAGGCAAGAAAAAAAAAATTCTCAAAAAATATTGAAAATTGATATTGTTTTGTAGAGCATAACAAACTCGTTTTATGCATCCTATCTTGAGCCCGATTAAACTGCTTTTATCGATTTTTTGGGAATTCATATATAGGATCTCATATATAAGGCAAGTCAATTTTGTACACATAAACAAGTAACTCAACGGAGAAGAATAACTTTTTTTTTTTATAAATTGATCTGTATTGAAAAATTAAGAAAGTTCAGGGACTACAATGCCATCTTTCGATAATTGAGGTATGAGAATAATAGGAGGCCGGTTGAACCAGATCTTCGTTTCCTTCGAGCGGCATCGAATGCGAGCCATCAGGTGTGCACACTCATTCCCTGCCCTACCCCAGAACCTCCATCGCACATTTCCTTCTTCTTCAACCAGTTCCCTAATTTCTTCACAAATCCCTTCAACCTCCCATGCCATCGAATCCCTTCGATCCAGCTTCTGAACCAACGATTTACAGTCCGTTTCCACAATCAAATGCACAAATTGATGAGTTTTAGCCAATCTCAAACCCTAGAGGAAAGCGAGTGCTTCTGCCACTTCCGGCGGCCACTTCGTCCTTGTGCGATGCACTGTCGCCCTTTGAAAAGCCTCGTCGCCATTTCTAATCATCATCCCATACCCCATTCCCTCTTCCCCTAGAATTGCCGCATCCATACTCATCTTGAACAGTCCCTGTGGCGGTGGCTCCCAGACAGATTGAGTCGGCGCCGGCTGAGGTTTTGCTCCTGGGGATTGTAATTGCCGATACTCCTCCAGTTAATTATGCGCTCTCATCACCACCTCCCACTCCTCTAGCTTAGCACTGTTGAATAGATGGTTGTTTCTCTCTTTCAAGAGAAACCATAGGGTAATAAGAACCATAGAAAGTTCTTCCTCTGTTGTTCCCTCGACCAGGTTGCATAGCCATTCTTCGCAATTCTTCCCTTCTCCCATTTGGAAGTACTTCGCCAGATAATTCGGCCTCCAAACTCTCCCTACCCAGTCACAATCACTTGTAATATGTTCTTGAGTTTCCATCAATCCACAGAAGGGACATTCATCAGGTGCCTCTGGGATTCATCTACTGAGGTTTGCCCCTGTAGGAAGGATATTACTACCCCCATCTCCATACAAAAACTCGAACTTTAGGAGGTAGTTAAAGCATCCAGAGCTGTTTCCAATCAATGGGGACATAGCTCTCAACCTGGTTGCTTAAGTGTCTTCTCCTCCATTCCTTATAACCTGATCGAACTGAATATTTACCAGTTTTCTCCTTACCCCAAATTCGAACATCTGGCCTTGGCCTAAAAGGGAGTGGAATTTGTTTGATCCGGTCTCGATCTGTTGGTTGGAAATTTGCTTGCAAGAGATTGCTTTTCCAAGAACGAGTATCCTGATCAATTAATTTCGACACCCTTTTCATAATTCCCAATCCAACAACTTGAGTTTGAATTCTGAAGTCATCAACTGTTGGGATCCATCGATCCCACCAAATTCGCACGCTTTCCCCATCTCTTATCCTCCATCTCGTGCCCTCTCTTACCAGGCTATGAGCTTGCATCAAGCTTCTCCAAATGTAGCTTGGGTTAGAACCAACCTCAGCTTCCAGGACATCAAAATGTGGATAATATTTAGCTTTGAGGACTCTTGCCACTAAGGTGTTGGGATTTTGGAGTAGGTTCCAAACCTGCCTTCCTATCAAAGCAATGTTAAACCCGTGAATGTTTCTAAAACTCATACCACCCTCGTACTTATGTCGACGTAATTTCTCCCTACTCATCCAGTTTATCCTCTTCTCTTCCCTTTTCTTTCCCCACCAGAAACTAGCTATCATGCTCTGAATCTCCTGAATAACTCCCTGGGGGATTAGGAACACAGACATAGCATAAAATGTTTGAGCTTGAGCCACTGCCTTAATGAGAACTTCTTTAGCCGCATTAGAAAGAAGTTTCCCTTTCCATAGTTTAATCTTGTTTCGCACTCTGTCAATAAGCTGAGAGAATACAGCTTTTTTGGCTCTTCTAATCACAGTAGGCAGTCCTAAGTACTTGTCATGATACATGACAGTTTTCATTCCCAGGATCTCTGCCATTTCCTGTCGGTCTTCTTCAGGAACGTTTGTGCTAAAAGACAGTTCTGATTTGGCCAGACTGACTTGCTACCTTGAAGCTTCTTCATAGATGTGTAGGATGATACAAACTTCATTAAGAGTTGCATAAATAAATATAAATACTTTCAAGCGTGTAAATTTTCTGGTGCTCTCGGAACATATTTTTTACCTGGTTTTCATTTATATGTATATTCATATAGAGATTAACATAACTACAAACACTAAGTAAGACAATAATAAATCCACGAGTAGTCTCATTCACACTATATAAATGGATTCATATATCTGTTTACATATGGAAAAGATAATAAAAAAACACAAATAAAAGAGTACCTAGTATAAAAGACAAAAAAACACAAATAATAATATCGTCGGATCATTCATAAAGATCATATCCTCTAAATTTTATGTGGTTGTAGAAGTACGTCATCAAGATGTAAATAGAAGAAGGTAAGTAATTCCTATAGGAGTTTTAGGAATAGTATTTTGTAACTTATAACTTACCGCTTGTATTATTATGAAACCACAAAAGGGTTTATATAAATTACAAGACTCGAACAATAAAATAAGAGAACCACAATACTAAAAGAACACGAAAATACTAATAACTATACTAAAAAGACAAAAAAATATAAGATTATTCCTAATTGATCTCTAACACAGTTCAGTTCAGATTCCTTTCTTTTGGAGTTAGGGTTCCACAATCACTTGTGCGGGAACCACTCCGGCCATGTGGCCTTTTTCATCATTTGCTTCACGAATCAATACTTTTCCCTCGGAGCCAACCGCCCAGAATCTGTAGCCAACAAAGAACAGGTACGAGACAATCGATCCCCAATACGGCGTCGAGTAGATCAAACTCTGAGCCACCGCCACCGCCACCGCCGAGACATCTATTATATTGAGACCATCAATATAGAGAGCAACGGAACAGAATTTTATGTAAGCGTAGACCGTTATCGACAAAGATATCAGCAATGTGAATACCGCCGGATTATTGGGACGAGGGGAATATTGCTTGGCCAGGAATGCTGCTTGGAGAGCAGCCATTTCCAGTATGATTTTCCGGCTGGATCCGAATTGAGACGGCTGCCGGCGGCGAGGATACCAAGGTAACCAGACGGCGAATGCAGATACCATGCCGGGAGCCACAACGATCCAGACAGGGCCGTCCCATAATATTTGGAGGCCCCGTTCGAAAATTTAAAATGTGACCCTAATTTTTTTCCCCATAAATTTATCAAAATTAAAAATAAGTAAATAATTGTAAAAAAATACTGAAGTTCAGAAAAAGATTACATCAGGAATAAACGATCTCGTTTCCAGTTTGACCAAGAAACCAAGACCGAATTCACGGCCCTAGTAGGGAGGAAAGTAAATCTGGAAGGAAGAGAAAATGGATATAGCGCAAAAATTGAATGGAGAAATGAAAATAGTCTAAATTGATCGAGAGGTGGGTGCAGGGTTGTCTACCAGATCGTGGAGGCCCTATTTCAAAATCTATACGTGGTCCAAATCGACCTTTAACTATAATAAAACAAAAATGATTATAATAACATTATTCAAAATGTAATATCTTTATATATTGTTTAAATTAAAATGATCTATTATTTTTCAGATTTTCGTATTATCCATGAGATCCTTTTCGATTGTTATTATAGCTAAAATTATCTATTAAACACATCATCATACTCATAATCAATCAATCAATCATACACTAAAAATACAACCTACAATATACGATCGGTAACTAACGAATCTAAGTAGAGGCTCCTAATATTCTGAGGCCCTGTGCCGGAGGGCGGGCCAGCACACCCTCTTGGCCGGCCCTGGATCCAGAAAACGGCATCCGTGCCCACCGTTTTGTGGAAGTAGTCGGTCAGGACAATCAATGCAGACATGGCGACAAGACTTCCGATTACACCCAGTACAGTCCACACTATGCCTAATATATATGCGTCCAATTCTTGAGGTTCCATTCCTCCACCGTCACCGCCTGCAATGAAATAAAAAAGAAATGTTTGTATTTTTTTTGGAAGGATTGTAAAATCGTATTGGAAATAAGGAGATTGTATCATAAAACAAAGTGCTATGTGGGTTCAGGTCCTTCAAGAAAAATATTTTAAGCACATGAACGGTGAGATCACATCCATGAAAAAGACTAACCATTCAAGTTTTGGAGAGCTATTGTGCAAACAATGCCACTTATAAAGGAGGGCTCATGCTGGAGCATCAGAAATGGAGAGACAACCTCATTCTAGAGGCATCCATGGATTGAGAACGATCTGGTGCTTGAAAACTTCATCACTGGAGAGCTTAACATGGATGATCTGGACACACATGTGGCCTACTGGGTTCACCCCTCAAGTGAGTGGGACAGGGAAAGACTAAAAACTCTGCTTCCTAATGATGTTCTTTCTCTGATTGCTGGAATGAAAACTCCTAAGCCTGAACTTGGAGAGGATAAAATGATCTGGGGCCTGGAACGTGATGGCAGGTTTCGTTTGAAGTCTCCATACTACCTGACGGCCAACAATGATGAGGAGGATGTTGTGCAAAGCTGGAAGCTGTTGTGGAAATGGAAAGGGCCTAATAGAATAAAACATTTTCTGTGGCTAGTCCTCCATGACAAGCTCTTCACCAACAGGGAGAGAACAAGAAGGAAGATTGCGACAAATCCTTACTTAACCACTGCAAGGACAAGGAAGAAAAAGTTGAGCACATCCTGCGCATTTGTGGAAAAGCAGGCACAATCTGGCACAAGTTCAAGGATAAGCTGCACATTCATGACAAGAACTCCCCCTTCCAGGACTGGATCATTGGAAATCTGTGCAATGAGGAAAAAGGGGTGGATTTTGGGGTTGTTTGCCAGAACCTCTGGAAATAAAGAAACGAGGAAGTTATGGAAGGCAACAAGTTCTCCGAGCAAGGATTGGTATGTCGAATTAAAGTTTGGCTTAATATCATCGAGCAAGCTAAGCAAAGGGACTTGATCACTACTGCTCCACCTGACAAGAACTACCAGTGCAGGGGGGCTCATCGGAGACCATCTTGGATGACGCAAGGAAGCGTTTGTTAGCAACCTAGGCCAGTGCACAATCACCACTGCAGAACTAAAAGGCGCCTTTGAAGGGTTTAGGATTGCTTGGGAAAGAGGCTTCAGGAAGGTGGAATTAAAGCTGGATTCGGCTGCTGCTGTTAGCATCATTAGAGATTGCTTGGAAGACAATCATCTACATGGAACCATTGCTAGGCAGTTTTACCACTTGTTTTCGTTTGATTGGGAGGTGAGAGTCTCACATGTGTATAAAGAGGCTAATTTTGTTGCTAACTTTCTCGCTAGCAGAGGTCACCTGTGTGATTTTGGTACACATCTGTTCGATGTGTACGACATGGAACTTGGCCATTGGCTACGTCACGACATCGTGGGAGTTTTCCATGATCGTTTAATTATTAATACGAATTAGACGCTATAGCGTTGAACCTTCTATAAAAAAAAAAATCAATGACAAGGTATTTTATGGTACACCAAGAGGGCAATTCTTCTATGGCTTGCTACATTTTAGCAACGTGATGCTGGTTTAGTGCTCAATGAGTTGTAACTTGGGTATTAATCCCACAGACCTACCTAATGCAAAAAAAACACGTTATTTTGCCTTTTACACAGACCATCATAAGAAAAAGATTTAGGAAAAATAATTGAAATCATAAGAAAAAGAATGAAGGATAGATATAGATATATAAAATAGAATGGACTTAATTCACATAAGGTGGGTTCTCTCAAATTAACACATTAACGGGGAGTCATGTTTGTGGTAGGGCTATATTTCATCTCAACTTTAAAAAAATACCTAGAATTTGGAAGTATATTTTGTAACAATTTTCGGAAATAAAGTAACCGATACAGCTTTAACCCATATCTAATTATCACAGTACAAAATTTATGTCCAGTAAATCTACTTCAACCCGTAAATACTAAATAGATACGCACGAGCAAAAATTAACATAGAAACCCCTACCCTACCACACTAATAACGCGCATAAATGCTAAAACCCACGTCCAGTAAGTAACCCAACAAATTCTAATTCGAATCAACAGCAAGAAGCCGAAAAATTAAATACCAAAACCTAAAAACGCATGGCACAGACAGAGATACAAGAGAAACCCACTAGGAAGAAAAATCAATTAGAGATGGAGGCCAATCGGAATGGAGGGTTACCTGTCGTCGCTTTCGGTAAAGTAGAAGGAGAAGCCATGTTTGATCCCCGCCGGCAGCAAAAACCAATCCAGTAAGCAGTGGCGGATACATGCATGGTTAGGGGTGTTCCGGGACACCCCTAAAATTTAGAAACACGATTATTTAATCTACGATAGTAATTTGCGTATGAGAAAAAATATGTTTAAGTAATAGTGGGACACCTTTAAAATTTTGGAAAATGATTATCCAATCTCTCGTAGTAGTTTGCGTATTGGTATAAATAATATTTAAGTTGTAGTTTATGTGATTTAAATTTGGGACACTGTCACTATTAGTAAATATATTTTCAATTACGCTACAACTCATTTGTTATTGTGTTTTAGATCCAAATATAATAATAAAATGTTATTCTTATCTCAAATTATTTTCAAAACCTAAAGATTAAACTCAATTACAGGATATTCTTGTCTAGTAAGATATGTCGAGAGATATTTGTTGAGCAGTATAAACACCGAATGCATTTTATCATTTGATGAAACACGTCTGAACTTTTAATGAAACTTTTATTAGTTAGATATTTTCATATTAATAATTATTTAATTTAATTTAATTTTTCATAGAGGACATCCCTACGTAGAATTTCTGGATCCGCCAATGGCAGTAAGTACGTAGAATCTCAGGCAAATCACTTGAAATCTAGCTAATATATATATATATACATATAATACTGGAATTATGTATTTGAGTAGGAGAGTTGTTAACAGACTAGGATTATTACTAATCCAATTATGGGCTTGCTGTACCAAATCCTTTGTGTTTCTTTTGGGCCATAGTATACCTTTTCTCCTTTCACTTGTGCTATGCCCATGGGCTCCTAGAGTACCCAACTCTTGTTACCCACATACCATCACCTTATAGGCCTGTTATGTAACCGATTCGAGAGAATCGCGATTTCGTCGGAATTTAGTCCATGTTTGGTGGTTAGAATTTTCTAAATTGAAACATTTAATAAATTTATGTATTTTAATTAGTTGTATTGTTTCAATGTATGAATTTTAAAAATATATTCTTTAGAGGTTGAATGGTTTTGGTGGTCTCTCAAAAAATGAAAAAGGAAAAAAAAATGTGAGGGGCAATCATTCATAATGAATAATTATGGTGATCTCGTCTTCTGCTAAAAAAACAAGTATTGTATATTATTTTTAAGACAAAAAATAACGAATTCTCCCGATTGCATATATTGGCTAAATGCATAATATGAAATCACAAACTTCCACACAACCCGTTAATCTATATAGTTTATTTCTATGCATCATAGTGGACTTGTAGTGTTGATTTGTGTGGTGTCATCTTCTCTAAATAATACTCAATTTTTTCATAATATTTTATATTATTAGCTTGTTTTTTATTAGTGCCAAACTAGACTAAGAAAATTAGCACAAAAATAATAATTAGAAACTCCAAAAAATTGACATATTGCTAATATGAAAAAGTTAAAATTCACCATGTATTGGGTTCGAACGTTTTGGTCAACAATTATCTAAAAATATGACAATTAATACAGTACAACTTCTCATGTACTAATTAATATCTATCTTAAAAAATAGTTGTGGTTGCTAAGAGATGACATGTACGTATGATGATAATTTAAGATTATTATAACAACCATTCTCAAATCCTCTAAGATTTTTTAGATTTTTTATTAAATAAAGCACCTCATGCTTTAAACATACAATCACTTGTTTTTTATACGAAAACATACAATCACTTGTTGTAGCCTGTACAAATTGAAATTTGAAAAAAATCATTATTCATAAAACTAAATCAATTGCATATTTGAAAACAAAATGGACTATGTATTTGGATCATGGACTTGGGTATTGTATTTCGACGATATTTGTGAGGTCATCACGGTTGGAGTCCTACTTCAAGTATATCGACAAAATGTAAGTGTTTGTAACGTAATAAGGGGTTTAGACTTTAGACTTGAGCTTCAGGCATCCATATGCTCTTGATAAAGAGATTTTCGTTGTGCATCGTGTTTCTATTTCAACTCAAACGAATCAAATTATGCGACTTAATTGACTTTGCTTAGTATCATTGTGGGTTTCTGTTATTTGTTGTGGTTTTCAAGTAAAATGGATATTTAGTATGATTTTTTTTATATAATAAACAGGGCCTAATGAACTCAAGTACTCAACCTGCAATATTGATTTGATTGTAGATATGAAATCTATCAATAAACCAATTAGATATACTTTCAAGCTTGATAGCCACAGGGATTTTTCCAAAAATAGCACTGTTTAAAAAAAATTCCAAAAATAGCACCTAAGTCCGAAAAATTCCAAAAATAGCACACTTTCCCAAAAACCGCTCCCTACCGGTGCGGTTTAGGCGAAAACCGCCACCCAGGGGCGCGTTTTTCGATGAAAACCGCACCCCCACCATGCGGTTTGGTTGCAGATCGCACCCCCACCATGCGGTCTGCTTTTTTTTTTTTTTTTTTTTTTGAAAAATCCTAACCTAGGTGTAAACTTCAAACGGACGTATCTTTGTGTTCGGGTATCCGATCGTCGCGAATTTTTTTTTGATTCCGCATAACTTTTTGAGATCTTGCAAGCCGAAGACTTCCGAATGTGGTTTGGTCACGCCTTCGTCCCAAAAAATGTCGTTTGCTACCCCGAACGAGCTTTTTTGTGATTTCGTCAAACTTTGGACAACCAACACTTTGTGCTCCAAAATCCAAACGACATGATTTTTTTTTATTTCGCATAACTTTTTAAGGACTACAATTTTTACTAGAATGAATTTTCAAAACAGGAATTATTTTGGATATACAGGATTTTGGGAATAGCTTACCTTCCCTTCTCAGCAATCCACGTACATTTTGAAATTATGTCTATGATAAAAGTTGTATTCCTTAAAAATTTATGCGAAATAAAAAAAAATTCATATCGTTTGGATTTTGGAGCACAAAGTTATGGTTGTCCAAAGTTTGACGAAATCGGAAATAAGCTCGTGCGGGGTAGCAAACGAAATTTTTTGGGACGAAGGCGAGATCAAACCACCTTTGTCAGTCTTCGGTTTGCAAGATCTCAAAAAGTTATGCGGAATCAAAAAAAAATTCGCGACGATCGGATACCCGAACACAAAGATACGTCCGTTTGAAGTTTACACCTAGGTTAGGATTTTTCAAAAAAAAAAAAAAAAAAAAAAAGCAGACCGCATGGTGGGGGTGCGATCTGCAACCAAACCGCATGGTGGGGGTGCGGTTTTCGCCTAAACTGCACTGGTAGGGAGCGGTTTTTTGGAAAGGGTGCTATTTTTTGAATTTTTCGGACTTAGGTGCTATTTTTGGAAAAAAAATAATTAACAGTGCTATTTCTGGAAAAATCCCATAGACAGGAGTACTTTATCCCTAGTCCCATTTGATCTCTAATTGGCTTAATTACACATGTTATCATTATACAAATGTAATTAACCAGAAAAGAAAGCTTCTCCTTTACTAAATATGATTGTACTAAACCAAATACAGCTTTTGGTCATTATGGATCATGTTGGCATCCACAATTCTGCAACCATCCTCGGTTAAGATCATAGACCCACCTGGTGACTTCAAATGCTCTGTTGCTTCTTTCATGAGCTCTTCTATGGTTTGAGGAACCCACAATGTAATTCCCTCTGTTCTCTTCTCCTTTGGATCCCACGGATGAAATGGAAAGATGCTGCATTTTCTTGGTTGTGTCCTATCTATTCCTTCATATATAATGAAAATTACATAAGAATGTTGGTCAAGATTGTATTTGCAACTATGAAGATAAAAATGGAAGTCACTTGCAACTAACAAGCTTGATTATGGATATGCAGATGGTCGAGGTTGAGTGATCTAATGTCATTCCATTAATGAAGAGATGCATTATGTTTTTTCCCCATCCATTTCCAAATAACCAGTTAATCTCCAGAAAAAAAAATTGAGTTGTTAAAAAAGGTTTTAAAAAATGAATCTTCTTGTTTTCATATGCACCTCCTCACAAGCAGAGCTTTGAAATTTGCACAAATCTATGACATAGTGTGGTCTAATCAATTGATTCAAGTATTGGGATTACCATAACTTGAATATAACGTATATTAATTATTATAAATTATACTATCATCTAAATTAACCAATAACATCTTAATAACTCGAACTAGATGTTTGGAAATGAATCTTATACCGACTATGATACTAACACTATTAGACATGCAATGATAAAAGTACCATATTCTTTCGTCCATATTTTATCTTCCCTAAAGCAAGTAGTACCTTGGATCTCAAGCAACTTCATAATAGCCTTGTCACCACCGACACGAGATTCATCAAGAGGTGTATTTCCCCATCTGACAATGAAAATAAAAAAAGACATAAGTACTCTAATATTATTTTTAAAAAGTGAGTTACTATCCTAAAATAGGTAAAAATTATCAACAACCTGTCTTTTGCCAAAATGCTGGCTCCTGCCTCCACAAGTAAGCTTGCCATTTCATATAACCCTTCTGAGGCGGCAACATGAAGGGCAGTCCGGCTATCATAGTTCTTGGCATTGTAATTTATGCCACCCTCCAAAACCCTTTTCAGAACATCAACTTCACGCCTGGCCACAATCTTACAAAGAAAATCGCCAGCATCTTCCATGGTATTGAGTGATGCTCCTGCTTTGATGAGTAGAGAAGCCACTTCTTCATGACCATTCTTGATAGCTTCAAGCAATGGAGTGTTCCAAAACTTATCTGCATATATTCTACCATTAAGTTCCAAAACTTCATATATGAAAAGGGTATTGGAAATTACTACTATAGATCAATAATGGATGTAATAGTTGAAGAACCCAATCAACCTGAAGTGTTGATGTCCAATCCTTGTTCGATAAGGAAAAGCGTCATGTCTTTGAACCCTTTTGATGCAGCAACATGCTGTTAACAGAAGTTAGGGAATTAACATGTATAGAAACTTTGAAGGTATAACTTCATTCACATTGTTAAAACTATGAGATATATAGACAATGGACTTGTGTGTTAAATGAACTCATAAGCCACAATCATACCAAAGGTGATCTTCCGTCATAATCCGTCTTTTTGGGATCAAGGCCTCCGGCGATCAAACGTTTTAGTCTGTACAAGTCTCCATCGAATGCGGCGGTATTCAGTCTTGTCGCTAACTCTGATTCGGACTTTATAATGTCAAGAGTTACGTCTGATTCTAGTATGTTCTTTCTAACAACCGGGTCCTTTCCCTGGAAAATTTCAAAATTGCATTGATACAAAGAGAGGAATGATGCGGAATGAGATTTCACGCACCGGTGATCTCGAGCGATTTAGCGAAAGAACTAGAAAACACGATAAAAGATCTACTTTTCTCTACTAACTACTCATACTTTATTCGTCGACTTAATAAAAGGAAGAGCAAAGGTACATATTTATAGGACTAATCCTACAAACCCCTTTCCTCTTAAGACAAGGAAACCCAAACCTAAAGCAACAAGTAAACGAAAACTTCCTAAACAAGATACATAATAATAATCCTAGACCCAAACTAATACGAATAACCCGAATAATAACAGAATATCCCAACAAATAATAGTAATAAAACAACAACAATAATAATAATATTAATGGGCTCGGCCCAAGACGCCGTCACCCATCAATCCTCCCCCCCCCCCCCTTTTACAACTTCGTCCCCGAAGTTGCCTTCCGCTTCCGCTCCTCCTCCTTCTTCTTCCTTGAAGTCGCCGATCATGACAAAAACGTTCGCGTTGGCGCAGCGATGCCCATACGTGAATCACTCGTCGCAGTTATAGCACAGTCCGTCGCGACGACGCCTAGCAACTTCTTCAGGTGACAGGTTGCGGATGATGCGCCGTGGAGGTTGTGGAGCTCGCCCTGTTGTTGGCGCAGTTGGCGGAGCAGCTGGTGGTGCAACTGGAGCAGGTGGCGGTGGCGCCCAAGTCGCGTCGGCGGTGGCAGTCCGCGGCGCAGTCCTCGTTGATCCCTTCTCCAAGCGTAACTCCTCCTCGCGTATCTTAGCCAATCGATACGCTTCGCCAGTGGTTTGCGGATTAAAAGCTCGGATATAGGAAGATATTTCCGGCTTCAATCCTCCCATGTATGACCCCATGATCGCAACCTCGGTCCAACCGCGGCAACGATTCAGCAACTTCTCGAAGGTATGTTGATATTCGTCAACGGAACCAGTTTGATGAATCTTGGCCAACGCCTCATGTCTAGACGACTTCTCCAATGACCCATACCTTTTCCATAACTCGGCGCACAGACTGCTCCAAGTCATCATCACCCCGTACTTCATGAATTCTTCCTCAAGCCACATGATCCACTGGTTCGCGTCACCATCCATGTGATAAGTAGCCAGCGCTACCTTCTGCTCTTCTGGAATGCACTGGTAACGGAAGTACTTCTCAACACGCGAGACCCATCCAGATGGATCTTCCTTGCTAGTGAACTTCAAAAATTCGAGCGGTGCGATCATGGTTCGAAACATTGCTTGACCTAGCTCCTCGAATTGACCCATGGGTTGGGTCAACCCAGTCGTTCCACCCGAATAAGGCCTGCCCGGCCCGGGGACTTAGGGTCGGCCCAGAATGGGTCTGCACCAGCTCTGCTGACCCGGCCCGAGCGGTGGTCTAGGCTCGATCCCGCTTGCCCCTGCAGCCCATGGCCCGCTTGGCCCAGCTCCCCGCGCTCCTAGCCCACTCGGCGGCCACTGATGGCTCGGCCCATTCCCTGGAAGACCTAGTCCGTAAGCGCTCGACCCCGCCGGTCCATAGGGCCCGTTTGCGTCCCCGGCCCACTGCTCCGCTCGCTCCGGCCCGTCCGCGATCACGCCTGGCCCAGACGGCCTGTCTCCAGTTCGGTCTCCCTCGATTGCTCCTGGGCCAACCCGTAGAGTAAGGCCACAGTCAGGCCACCCATGTTGGGCCGTAGCCCACGAAGTACTCCTCCGCGGTTGGTGGGATCCGGAGTCGGCCTCATCGGTGGCCTTCCCCCTTGGGCGACGACCTGCTCCTCATCGCCAGCGATGGCGAGATTTCCCTAGCCAGCTCCGACGGGAATCCCACGACCGATCCCTCCACTGCCCCATGCTCTCGGCCGGTGCTCTGTTCGTCACTCCCGGCTTCGTTCCCGGCGTCGGTGTCGAGCTCCTGCTCGTGGAAGAGTGAGACCCCTCGCCCACGGCGACTGCCTTCAGCTTCTCTACCGCCATGATCTGGTCGACGGTGCGACCTCTTCCCCCAGCGACGCGGTCGAGCTCCTTCGACGGCTCGACCTCCTTCTTCTCCCAAGGCAGATCGCGGAGGATTGAGAGGATCGCGCTGACGTCGTTCGCCAACCGCCCTTGCTCAACGCGGACAACGTTGATCTCCTCCGACAACCGATCATGTCCATCCTGAAGTTTCTCCTGACCACACTGCAATTGCCCGACGTCGATGCAGAGACGCTCCAGGGCTGCCTCGTGATCGCGGTTGATAGCATCCTGAGCTTCCATCCTAGCCACGATCGCCTGTTGATGACCGGCGAGAACTTGAAATTGAAGCGCTAACTCCTCGTCGCCGGCGGCGGTTGGTGATGATGGTGTCGTTGGCTGCTTGCGCGGTAGCATGGTCTCCTGGCTTGGTTCACTCGGAACCAGGCTCTGATACCAATTGATGCGGAATGGGATTTCACGCACCGGTGATCTCGAGCGATTTAGCGAAAGAACTAGAAAACACGATAAAAGAGCTACTTTTCTCTACTAACTACTAATACTTTATTCATCGACTTAATAAAAGGAAGAGCAAAGGTACATATTTATAGGACTAATCCTACAAACCCTTTTCCTCTTAAGACAAAGAAACCCAAACCTAAAGCAACAAGTAAACGAATACTTCCTAAACAAGATACATAATAATAATCCTAGACCCAAACTAATACGAATAACCCGAATAATAACAGAATATCCCAACAAATAATAGTAATAAAACAACAACAACAATAATACTAATAATAATATTAATGGGCTCGGCCCAAGACGCCGTCACCTATCAAGGAAGTTGTAACATTTTCAAACTAAACTAGCTAATTGTGATACTTTTCCACATCCCCATATGAAAGCCTCTATACATTAGTGATGCTTAGAAGTAATGTGATAAAAAAAAACATCTTGACAATATTAAGTTGTACATATAAGAACACTCACCTCAAGAAGGTTGTTCAAGATAGTTCGAGCATCGTGGATGAATATCTCGATGATCTCCTTGAAGGATTGTTTGTCTAACCGTAACACCTTGCACAAGTCTCGAACTCGAATTGTGTTAGATTGAGGGGTATTGCAGAGGAAGGAAACCTCACCAAAAGAATCATATGTTTGTAGATTTGCAAGAATGATCTCCACCATTTTGCCATCTTCTTCTTCTTTTCCTATTTCCTCCTATAGATAAAAAAAACTATATTAGGGATCAATGAGAAAATTTATAAAGATTGTTGGACCGATTAACTCAAATTTATAGTATTATCACTTCTTTTACATTTATACAAAAAAAAAATGGGACGGACAATTGTTCACGATAAAACCAACCTCGTGCTAAATATCGAGTATAATCCAATCTTAAGTTCGCAAGGAAGAGAGAAGATCAAAATTAATAAAAGAACACAATAAGCCGCACATAACATGAGTAAAACAAACCACCAATACCAAACTTAACATATAGACTATCAATAAATATAGTGTACCAAAATCATGAATTAATCAAAATAATGAAAGGAATTCTTTTTGCGACCAAGAAAGTAATCACAAATGAGAAATAAAGTGATCTAGTCTGCGACTCGAACATATCGACAATTCCAACATTTCTGTTGAATATATAAAATAACACACAATAAATAATACACCAAAAAAAACATTTATCTCGAGAATGGTAGACAGGATGAAGAAAACAATTACCAATTCACCGTGACAAACAATGTATAGTTGGTTCACTACATTTCCTTGTTCAATGATTACTTCCCCAGGTAGGAAAAACTCTTCGTGAACCTTTGTCGCCTGAGCATTTAGCAAATTAACAACATAAGCAAACCTGATTTCACTTAACCCTCAAAGTTACCGTTGCAGTAAATATGCCATAAATCTAGCTAGAATAAAATACATCAATGTGACAATTAACTTACGATATGTTTCATGAACCTTGAAGAGCATCCTTTGAAAAGGGGAACTTCTTTGAGATATGGCTCATAAAGCTTTTGTGAAATCTGCAAGGAAGAAGGTGAGAAAAAAAAAAGTAAGTATCAGCCCATTGTTAAAAAACAATTCAGTTGACCATCTTCCTTTTCCTAATTATTCAAACAAAACTAACACTTTTATTTTATACAATCTGATTATTAGTCACCTTTGTCTGGATAGAGACCGGAACATCCTGTAAAATCGTTGTTTCGGTGTAGCTACGATCGTATTGTAACCTTAAATGTCCCTTCATCTCGTTACTAATTTCCCTTCCGAGATTATTTTTTGTCATGTACTTGATGAGATCAGTCATCCTGTCTCTAAATTTTTCCGTCTTGGATCCTTTCACGATCAAGGCGGTCATATTACCGAGCAAATAAGCGCCCAGGATCATGTCGAAAGAGACATAAATCATCACGAATATCATTTCTTTGACGTTCACGGCATGTATCTCCCCGTAACCTACCAAAAAAGGTTTCATATGGTCATGGATCAACTACAAACAATCATAATCAACTAAAAGACGTCGTTCCATATTGTCATGTGTCGACTAGTGAATGATCATCAATCATAACAAAAATGTCATATAATTTTCTTAATCGAGTGAAACATGCCGTCTGAATAGATAATAATACATATATTTTCTAAATACGCTCGAACCAAATGCACCGTCACGAATTAAGTAACGTACCGACGGTCGCCATGGTAACAATGGCAAAGTAGAGTGAGGTGACGTATCGCTTCCAAAGATCAATCTCTCTGAAGTTTGAATAATGGAAGTCTCCCATCTGCAAGCTTCCAATCCAAGTGTAGCCTTCCTTTGAAGGAGGAACAGTGGTTGCTAGGTAGTAGAATATACAAGCCGCTGTATGGGTGCAGTAGAGCTCGACAACAAGGAGTTTCACTATCCTTGTGAACAGGTAATTTATCCTTATATCTTTCTCCATCTTCTCAAAAAACTCGTCCACTCTTCTTGCTCTGCTCAGTCGAATCCATAGCATATACCTCACCCCCTCTTTTCTTCCACAAGCCTAACAAAAAACGGCCCGGATGAGAGAGTTTTCAAATTCAACAAGCGAACCACATCCGAATAACACGAACTATTCAAATAATACACCGAGCAAAATGCATAGTAAAAACATAAAACTCACCTTATAAATGGCATCCCATGGTAGGCAACCAAGGAAATCAACAATAAAGCGAGATTTCAAGTACCTGAAATGAAGAAAGATAAAATTTGTGTTACTATTAGAATCTAGGACTTTTATAAGTTGCAAGACTAGTGGTAATACGACTGGATCAAACTCTTGTCGCTAATAATAATACTAGCTACGATATTGGTATTGTGAAAAAAGATAAAAAACAAAGAAAAGGGAGTAGTGAGAAAGAAAAAAATATAGTATGAAAACCAACACCTAAGGGCGATGAGTTTGCGATCATAGACAAGGCGGTATGAGTGACCATCTCGATATGCCACAAAGAAGCGAACGACGATGTCGATGAGGAAAGCGAATTGCCCGGCGATATCCAAAAGGAAAAGGTTCTCCGGCAAACCTCGGAAGAACCCGAACTCGAGAGGAGTGAAGAAGGATGAGTAGATTGCCCAAAGTAGTATGAAATGTACCCAAACAATGTACCACCTGCAAGATTTTCCAGTTAGTAACAATCAATTGCCAAACTATATATAGTAACCATTTGGTTAACGATCTAGAGTTAACTGTGGTTAATTATACATAGTGAATCTATTTACAAAAATGTCATCACATTCGATCCTAAATTTCTAATAATCAGAAATTTGTGAGAAATTAAAGTAATTCCGATTTTTGCTCGTGGTCCAATCCATATATTTTATGGTAATTGTAGAAGAAATTATTGGTGAATTATTATATACACTCTTTTAGACTTTGCAGTGGGCTTAATTATGTGGGTTAAATTAGGAGAAGAAATTAACCCAAAATTAAACGTTACCGGTTGTCGGGGCGAATGAAAAAAGGAGGTCTGCCGGCGTGTCCATCGCCGGCCACATTGAGTGTCTCATTTCTGAGCAGCGGCCCAATCATCCTGTGGTTCCAAGAATGCTTGCCCGATATCGAACCACGATCCTGTCCGTCAATTCTCACCTGACGATCACCATCGTGACGTTCTCGCTCTGCCACGTTGGATGGTCCGCCGTCGACGTGCATGTTCATCAACTCGATCTGCTGGAGATGGTAATAAAGTGCTGGATTTTGAGGACTTAGTTTGAGTGGCAGTGTAGTGTAGTTATTATGTATAAATAATCAAATTTCAATTAGAGGAGACAAAAATTAAAGTGAAACAAACACAAGGAATATTTTTTATCTGATAAAAAGTGAAAAATCAGTTGGCAAGAATATTACTTTCTTTAGGGTGGAGATTTCTCTTGACTGATGAATGGATGATCAGTAATTGGCCATGTAATGAGTGATGGTAACTTAATTAACTGACCAGTAATTTTATTAAGTAATTACATGTTACAAATACCTTTTAAGATTTCTGTTCATTTCCTCACAATTATGATAATAAAAAATTTGCCCATGAGCTTTTCTCCCCTAATGATTAGTATCATAATTTTTTTTTACCGTTCCCGATCGAAATAAATCTCATACTTGTACCATATACACCTTATCATATACTATACACATATGATTAGATAAATGTGTCTATAAGAGACAACAAATCTGGTTACGATGACTCAAAACACCCAAGGTATTAAAACATGAAACGACTTACCATAAAAAGACCCCGAGTCGGAATCAAATTTGCGCAGAACTGAAATTAACTCTTTTCATACTCTTTTTGTTGAGCTTATGACACTATGGTGTGGGTGTAAAGTAAAATACATTTCATCTACTGACACCCAATATAGCACGGTAACTCTGAGATGTAGGGATGAAAGTGAAATCCCAACCTTGTTTTTCGATTCTCATCCAACGGTTACTGACCTACTGTCGCGGTAAAATCTAAAAGAACATTTTGGGGGTGGGTGCAGGGATATTGGGATAGAATTAAATTACAGTGAAAAGGGATTAGGAGAATCATTAGTCTAATCAAGAGCCCACAAAGAAAAGCAACACCAGGTTAATTATCAGCCAACGATTATAATAACACTACTACTCATGAATCATGATCACCAATTTTTTCAATAATATTCCCACAAAAAGCAAATCATGCAGGGATAAAGCAAGGAATATAATATGTGGTTTATTGGGCTACGCATAAGCCTGCTGCTCAGCCCAAACTAAACCAAACATCTGCTCTGATAATCTCTGATATACTAACAGGCCCAACATGGATATGCACATATTCAATTATTCTGAGGTGAATTGAATCGAAAACAATATAGGAAGAAGAAAAAGAAACTCGACATATATATAGTTTATGTTGTTTTCTCGATCGAGTCTAGTATATGGAAGAGTTAGAACTCTTTGAGCTATATCTCTTATTAGGTCTTGCCCAAGCTACATGTTCCATCAACAACTTATTGAGTAAATTAGATACATGTCAATAACTATGGACATCTAAATAAGTAATTGTTGATAAACATAATACGAGATATTGAAAGAACAATTAATACATGAACCGAACCACGACCACAAAAATCAAAGAGTAGTTTAGGGGATTGATGCGCCGTTTAGAGCGAGAGATGAAGGTCAACATTTAGGTTTAGTTTCAATTTCAGTTTTTATTTTGAAACATGTTTTATCTGTGGTTTTAAACCTTTGTTGCTTGTTTTGTCCAAATGCAGACTAATACACTTTGTTTTGTAGTGACCAAACCTTCTCTCTTTAAACAAAGAATGATTTGAAATGAGCCAATTTCTAGGGTTTCACTTTCTAAGCAAAACTATCAACAATGTATATAAAAAGTTGCAATAGCTAGGCGCTTGTGAATATTAATTAGGGATATACTTATCATCTAAAATCTATTTGCTAAAATTGGTAGGTATAGCCTGCAAAACATGGTTGGATTGAAGACGTAGTTTTCATGGTTCGTCATGACGTGATAATTAAGCAAATAAATGCCATATTTAATTTCTCGTTGGATTTAGGCTAGATTCATTGCACCCACAAGGAAAGAATTGAAATGAACAAGAACAGAGAGTCCCGACAAATTCATCATCGAATCGTAAGATAGAAGCCAAAAAATACCTATACATAAACCCCACTTACAACTTATTTATTACAAAACTAGTCTATTAGTCCTTTTCAAATATATAGTATTCATCGTCTGCCCCCAGATTTTCTATAACCATTACAATCTGATTCCTCTACTTTATGAAAGTTACACTACTCAAAATTTCCGCATTTCAGTCTCTTTGGGGACACTGCATGAAGCTATTACATGGTGCTTCAAACGATTTTTAGTTTGATGGTTGTCAAAGGGTGATGATCAAGTCTCCGATTGACGATATTATTGATAATGACTTTCGGAATTAGTATTGACGAGGTGAAGTACTTCTTGAGGAAGTTTATGGTTATGCATTGTTGAGTGTTTATTCGGGCGTTTGGATTAGTTATGGGAGAGCATGTAATAAGTTAGCTCATTGTATAGCTGGTAAACCTCTTTGTTTGTTTTCATTGAGCTTAGTAGTTAGTAGGATTTGATTTTATTGATCGTGGTTGAGTCCATGAGGTAAACATGTATCTTTATCATCTGTCTATTCTGAATGACCTTAAACAACAACAACAACAACAAAAAGTTTATCGATCCTTTCACGACATCATTTTCCTTTTATTCGAAAGTCTACTAATTAGGAAAAACTGTTGTTGATATCCGAGCATTGTTAACTTCTACCATGTAGGTTGTGCCAAATATCAATGCCCACTTAATCATTAAGGAAAAAATTACCGATTATCCTGCTAAAAAGATAGACTTTGGTAGAGAAGTGTCGAGATCAACACAGGTCATCGGAAGTGATTCATTAATGATAATTCAACACCAAAATTCATTTTAGAGAGATCATTATAAAGATGGAATCAAAGAGATCAATAGTGAATTTCTATAAAAACTTGAGGACTGAATAAGAAATTATTGACAGCAATAACCAAATAAATCCAATGAGGTGGCGGCTATTAGTTACACTCCTTCATATTTGAGTCACATTATGTAGATAGGCACCAAGCCTAGTGGACTAATGAGTAACAGCCAGCCGCCCCCACCACTCTCTCTCATCGGTCTCAATCGTCGCCTTCTACTTCTTGCCGTTGCGGAAAAAAAATATCCATATTTATGCGGGACGTGACCAGCAAGAAGTTAGAAGTCGCAATATAAAATATAATATTAATATTAAATTTGAATAATCATAATTCATAACCCCCTGGTATTTTAGCAGTTGAGGTATTACCTGAAACGCCTGGATAATAACAACAAAAGATTCGGATAATTAAACCACAAGCAGAAGAATAGAATAGGAAGGAATCTCGAAGGTGCATGGATCTGAAAACATATCCCAAGCAGCCAAAGCTATAATTAAAATGCGAGAGAGGTTTTAAACGTTGCTTTATAGTACTTAAACCTTGTGTACATTAGTTTATTATTAGAAGTGGGCCAAAGCCCACCAACAAGTTGAGCTAACTTATCCAATAAAAATAACACCAAAAAAAAGTTTGGATCCTAGTTCCTCCTGGCGGGCCCAACCACTCCCCACGTCACCCTTCCTCCTTCCTCCTTCCTTCTCCCTTCCTTTTCCCACTCAGCCACTCTCACGTGCCTTCCTTCCTTTCCTCCCCACTTCAAAACTGCCGTCCAACTTTATCTGCTCATCCCCAATATATAAACCAGAACCTCAACCGCTTCCACTTCCAGAACATATTCCCAATCCCTAATTCGGCAAATTCCCTTTCTCTTCTCACCGAATGGCCGCCGTCCGCCAACGCCGCCAGCTCAACCTCCGCCTCCCTGAACTCGCCGCCGACCGCCGCCCTCGCTTCCCGGTCCCCCTCCCTCCCTCCGCCCCCACCACCACTTCCTCCTCCTTCCTCTCCTCCGACCTCGATAAGCTCTCCGTACTCGGCCACGGCAACGGCGGCACCGTCTACAAGGTCCGTCACCGCCGCACCTCCCAGATCCACGCCCTCAAGCTCGTCCGGGCCGACTCCGACCCCGCCGCCCGCCGCCAGCTCCTCCGCGAGGTCGAGATCCTCCGCCGCGCCTCCGACTCCCCCCACATCGTCCGCTGCCACGGCGTCGCCGAGACGCCCTCCGGCGACATGACGATTCTGATGGAGTACATGGACCTCGGGACGCTCGATTCGCTGCTCAAGAGCGAGGGATCCGAGTTCTTCACGGAGTCGATCCTCGCCGGAATCGCCCGCCAGGTGCTCGCCGGGCTCGACTACCTCCACGGCCGGAAAATCATCCACCGCGACATCAAGCCGTCGAACTTACTTGTCAACGCCGCGATGGAGGTCAAGATCGCCGACTTCGGGGTCGGGAAAATCATGTGCCGGACGCTCGATGCCTGCAATTCGTACGTCGGGACGTGTGCTTACATGAGCCCCGAGCGATTCGATCCCGATTCGTACGGAGGGAACTACGACGGCTACGCCGCCGACGTCTGGAGCTTGGGATTGACTCTGTTGGAGCTCTATATGGGACACTTCCCGTTCTTGCCGCCCGGTCAGAGGCCGAATTGGTCGAGCTTGATGTGTGCGATTTGCTTCGGCGACCCGCCGCCGCTGCCGGAGGGCTCGTCGGAGGAGTTCAGGAGCTTTATCGAGTGTTGCTTGCAGAAGGATTCTAGTCGGCGGTGGACGGCGGCGCAGCTGCTGTCGCACCCGTTCGTTTTGAAAGCAGTTGTGTAGGGTCCGAAACCCGAACATGACCCGACCCGGTTGAGCTAAGGAGTGAATCTGAAAATAGTAGTGGATTCCACTTTGCTACTTGGGACCTTTCGTTAATTTTTTCCTAACGTTCTTGTAAATCCGTATCCTTTAATCTTTTTCATATCTTTGGATGAATTAAAGGCATTCCGCTTGTAAACTCGCCATTGAAGAAGTTTATCAAAGGAGAACTTTTTTGGCATTATTTATCCCTCTTGGTTTGTAAAATGTTATTAGCTAGAAAATTCCTCCAACATGAGGAATTGTAACGGATCAATTTGATATAATTGTTTCGTTTTAAGACAATTGTATCAAATTGCCTCGTTTGCCAACAAAAAATTTGGATAAATCAATCTGGCTGAGGTATTTTGAATTGATCCATTTTGAGTCAATTTCAATTACCTGAGGTGAGGGCAGGTAATTCGAATTGACTCGTTTTAATTGCCTCGTTTATAAAACGAGTCAATTTGTCATTTCTAGATTGATCCATTCAAACGACCCCGAAATGAATTGATGATCCAATTAATGTTATCGTGGTTATTTACAAAATAAATTAATCATTGAATTAATATTACCATTGTTATCTTATAAAATCAATAATTCATGTAATTTATATTGCGAGAGTAATCACATTACTCATCATTTTATTGGTTAGGACTTCAGAGACACACTTTCATTACTTCCTTAAATTCTTTTTCTTTAGTTAGTGTCAAAGCATGATAAAATATTTACTGTCTCTTTGAAATTTTCATTTTGGCACTCTTATGCTATTATAGTGCTCAGGTTTGGAGTGATCAATTTACATCCCTTTAATATATCTTCTTCTAGTGAGTAAGAGTGTGTCCAAATTATAAAATTGAAATGAATTTCTAGACTCGGGAAAGTTAGGATTCTTTAAATTGATCTATTGTCGTCGCCGTCAACTAGAAAGGAATCAATTGCTGGCTTTTGATGGGTAAATTGAAGGACAACTACAGCCTACAGAGGAAGAACAACAGGTAGAATAGATGATAGGGATTCGATCGGGTTACAGAATACAGAGAATGCGAAGAAAGGGAAAGTAAGAGAGAGAAATAGGTTTAAGAATGATATTTTTGTATTTTCGTTTTGTATTATAATTATATGCATTGTGTTAAATGCTTGCATTTGAAAAATACATTGTTTGGAGATTGAATAACTTTGATGGTCTCTCAAAAAATAAGGAAGAAAAATTGAATTAACAATACCTCAAACACAATTTCTACTAAAAGCTGAGATTGACAATCATTCATTATAAATTATTGTGGTGGTCCCATCTTCAGTTCAAATATAAGTATTATGTTTGAGTTTAAGACAAAAAATGACAAATTATTCTGGTAACATGTATTGGTTAAATACATCATCTGAAATTCCAACTTCCAAGCGACCCATGAATACATTTTTTCTCTCTCCAAAGATCGAATACTTCTATTTTACATCATTTTATAATTTTTTCTTTCTCGATGTTTATTACTGAATAAGTGAAATTTTCAAGAATATACCTAGTTTCAATAAATTTGCATTGGTTCATTAATGAAGTGGTCAAAATGGTCTTCTATTGTCAATACTCAACAATTGAACGAACATTCATGGGGTTGGGTTCGATTCATCATCATCAACCTCAGATTCTTCAAATGTAAAGCAAACTAATCATCAAAAAGCTTTGTATATTAATCATTGATTCATTGTATAAGGTGCATTAGTGGGTACTAAATATACCCTTCGATAAATAAATGAAAAAGAGAGTAGTTAGGGTAGAGTCATAATTTGTGAGTTTAGTTTATGGCGGCTTATCAATGGAATCCAAATGGAAAGGTATCAAAGATTGAATTTTGTTTGGAGGGGTCATTTTTAGAGGCTGGTTCTTGGAAGTTGGGCAGCCTGGAAAGATAACGATAGAGATAAGCAAGTTGATCATGAGCTCCTAACTTTCTCTGCTTTTTTAATTCGAGCACATGCCGATATGCCAAATATTGTTTTTCACTTCTTTTTATTTACAAACCAAAATTAAAGTTTAGTGCCAAGTTGCACATAACAAACACAACTTGCACGAAATAGTGATGGGTATATAGTTCACTGTTTTCTTGTAAGGGCGGAGTCGGCTGAGTGAAGAGAACGGCTGAGAGAGTATTGACTACTTGCTCTTTAGATATTTTCCAGCCATCTAATTCTAGTCTCTAGTGAATTTAAGTGATTTTCTTGTGTTGGTATGTACAATTAATTTTAGTTTGTGATGGTGTGGCGTTATTCTATTTGATTATTGCCAAAATTGAAGAAAACGACGTTGCGGAATTGAAATAGGACAAGACAAGGATTTACGTGGTTTCCCCATTCGGTGATGAGTGAGACTATTCCACGGAGAGCTACTGCTCTCGGCTGAGTTCTTATTATGATGATCGGCGATCAACAGTTGAAAGAAGAAAGTTACAGTGGCCGAGCCCTAGCTTGGCCTTTAAATAGTTTGTAGAAACCAACCCCTAATTCCCTCATCAAGTCACGTGGGAATTAGCTGACAAAATAATAATAATAATAATAAAACATAATACGCCCCCTCAAGCGCAGGCATGGAGATCGTACATGTCAAGCTTGGACAAAAGATGATGAAAATGATCAATGCCGATGCCTTTGGTGAAAAGGTCAGCCGGTTGTTCCGCCGTGGGGATCTTCCGGGGAGCGATGTGATGAGACTGAACACGTTCACGAACGAAGTAGCAATCCATCTCCACGTGCTTGGTGCGTTCATGAAAAACCGGGTTCGCAGCGATATGAAGGGCAGCCTGATTGTCACAGTAAAGGGGAGTGGGACGAGTCTGCGGAACGCCAAGCTCCTCAAGAACCCACCGGAGCCAGAGAACCTCACTGACGGTGGTAGCCATGGCTCGGTACTCAGCCTCAGCAGATGAACGAGCAACGACGGACTGTTTCTTCGTACGCCAGGAAACAGGGGAAGCACCAAGGCGAATGAAATTGCCAGTCGTGGAACGACGGGTAGTAGAGCAGCCATCCCAATCAGCATCACAGTAAGCAGTCAAGGTGAGAGAACCATGAGCGGGGAACAACAACCCACGCCCGGGAGAGGACTTCAGGTAGCAAAGAATATGGTGAGCAGCATCGAGGTGAGCCTGGGTGGGAGCATGAACTGCCTGACTGAGCAAAATTGACAGCATAGGTGATGTCGGGACGGGTGACTGTGAGATAGAGAAGGCGGCCAACCAAGCGACGAAATGCAGCGGGATCAGGAGCTGGAGGAGAAGGTGAACGACCAAGCTGGTGATTCTGCTCAATCGGAGAATCAGCAGGACGAGTGGCCTGATAGTCGGTCTCAGCCAAGATGTCAAGAACATACTTACGCTGATTAAGAACAATACCTTGAGCTGAGCGAGCGACCTCAATCCCAAGAAAGTATTTGAGGGGCCCCAAATCCTTTATAGTGAACCGATCATGAAGGAACTCCTTGACTTTCTGAATAAAAGGCAGGTCATTGCCAGTGAGAATAACATCGTCGACATAAATGAGAGCCACGACAAAAGAGTCGGCCGCGCGATAGATGAATAGGGCCAGATCGGCATGGCTTTGGTGAAATTGAAATTCAACCAGAGCTGCAGAGAACTTTTGATACCAATTGCGCGATGCCTGTTTGAGCCCGTAGATAGATTTATGGAGGCGACAGACACGAGCATCACCGGGCTGGGAGAAACCTTGCGGAATCTTCATATAGACCTCTTCATCCAAATCGCCGTGAAGAAAAGCATTATTCACGTCGAGTTGATGAATAAACCAGCCCTTAGTGACCGCGACTGCAAGTAGACAGCGAACCGTGACAAGCTTGGCAACCGGGGCGAAGGTGTCATGATAATCAATCCCTTCAACCTGAGTGAAGCCTTTGGCCACAAGACGAGCCTTGTTGCGTTCGATGGACCCATCGGGGTTATACTTGATTTTAAACACCCATTTACAGTCGATAGCTCGTTTGCCTGGAGGAAGAGGAGTGAGGGTCCAAGTGCCATTGGAAACCAGGGCCGAGACCTCGGCTTGCATGGCAAGGCGCCAGTGAGCAAACCGAACCGCCTGGTAAAAATACTTGGGCTTCGTGGCAGCCGAAACACGAGCTAGATAGGCTTGATGGGAGGGTGACAGGCGATGGTAGGACACATAGTTGGCCATAGGATAAGTAACATGATGAGCCGAGGATGCGCCGGGGAGCTAAACGTCATAAAAGGCAAGATGGGACGGGGGTCGGCGTACCCGATCACCACGACGCAATGCAGGGGCAGCAGCATCGGCGTGGGAAGCTGGAGGGGAGGAGATATCCTCGACAGGTTGGGAAGAAGAAGAGGAGTCGACGGGCTGAGGCGAGATGGGGACAGGTGAGGCTGGCCGAGTGTCCAGTGGAAGGGCATCCTCCACAATAGAAGAGGAAGGTGCCTGCGGGGATGATGGTGGCGTGGAGGCAGCAGGCGGCACAGTGGGCGAACTAGGCTGCTGGGCAGGGGGAGACAAGGGAGGTGGGTCATCCGCAGCAGTGAGGAAGCGCACCGGACTTAGAGAATCGGAGGTGGAAGCATCCACAGGAGGCTCCGAACAAGAAGGTTGATCAACCTTGAATGGGAAGACATGCTCTACGAAGGTAACGTCCCGAGAAGTATAAAGCTGGCGCTTCTCGAGGTCATACACGCGGTAGCCTCGTTGAGAGGAGGGGTAGCCGAGAAAGACCCCTGGGCGACCACGAGGAGCAAATTTGTGAAGCCCCTTATGGTTATCGCGAGCATAAACAAGACAACCCAAATTCCGTAGATGATCGTACCGAGGAACAGCACCTATAAGGACCTGGTAGGGTGTGCGATGTTGAAGAGGTTCAAGCGGCAGCCTGTTGATCAAATATGTTGCAGTGAGAACGAACTCGCCCCAAAACCGAATGGGAAGGCCTGCATGAAAACGCAGGGCACGAGCAGTATCAAGAAGATGACGGTGCTTCCGTTCAACAACGCCATTTTGCTGCGGAGTGTCCGTACAAGAGGTTTGAAGGACAATACCCTCTTGTTCGTAGTACTCACGTAAGGGTGGAGTGGTGAATTCCTGTCCATTATCAGCTTGTATACGCTGAATATTCTTCCCATACTGAGTGCGAACCTGGCGAAAAAATAGAAGCAAGTAGAGAGCAACCTCTGACTTGTATTTCAATAGAAAAACCCACACTGCACGACTGAAATCATCCATGATGGCAAGGAAAAACCGGGCCCCAGTAAATGAAGGTTCAGAAAGACCTCCCCAAATGTTAATGTGAATCAATTCGAAACAAGACTGAGTTTTAATACTTCTGGGAGAAAAAGGGAGCCGAGTATGCTTGGCCCGTAAACAAGAATCACACGGGTCTTTATTGAAAACCAAAGGACTGGAAATAAAAGGTTGCAATGCCAGCATCTTCTTTGAGGAAGGGTGTCCGAGCCTGGAGTGCCAGAGATGCGAATTCCCCACTGCCTGCCGCGCGGAGAGTGCAACTGGATGTCCCTGATCGAAAACCCTCAAGTAATAGAGACCATCACTCTGAG